GATAATAATAATAATAATGATGAACTAAAGTATAACTAAATATTATTATTATTATTATTATCATCAACATAACAACGGTTACCAAGACCCATGACAATGATTGAATGATGATGATGAACAATAATAAATAATATAAACCCATACAACAAGGATTTAGTATATGATATTTGTTGTTGTTGGATCGATTGAATGCAATAATAAGAATGATAACAACATCAACAACAACAAAGATTACTCATTTCATCAATTATACCATATTAAAGATGACGTTAATGATGAGCCCCGATTCTTGGTCCAAAACATTCGAAACATTGATATTGAGATTCATAGATGACGTAATAATCCTGTTTGATTCAAATTTATGGAAAATTGGCAAAAAAAAATTATCCATTCGAATTATTATTTTCTATTGTTTTTAACATAGAAATCTTAAAAGGATTCATGAATAGACAGAAGAAAAACCAGAAAATTTGCCTTTAAGGGAATGAAAAATTTTTCATTATCATCATTACAACAACAACAGCATCAGCAGCAGCAAGTCACACATGGTTGATTATGGATAAGATGATGATGATGCCGATATTTGTTGTTGAATGATGATAAAAAAAATGGTAATGATGATATTGCGAGCATCGATCATCATCATCATCATCATTATTCGAACATCGTCATCATCATTAAGATAGAGAAAGAGAAAAAAAACATCTGACCTGATAGATGGATGGAAAATTCGTTCAACCGCATCCTTTTTCTTTTTTTCTTGTTGTCGTTGTTATGTTTTTTTCATCATCATCATCATCATCATCATTATTTTCTTCTTCTGAGCATTAGACGGTCAGAAATATTTTGATTCAAATTCTCATGATGTTGATGATGATTAGTGAGTTGGTTTTTTCCACTAAAATTTCTTTTTGACAATCGTCCAACAATAACAACAACAACAACAATAACAAAAATGACAATAATCAGACGAAAGTAATGAAAAAAAAAATCCTCTGAGAATCCATCAAAGAAAATTCATCACTTGTTTGTGAAACCTGTGTGTGTGTGTGTGTGTGTGTGTGTGTGTGTGTGTTATCCAAGCGTGAATATTATTCAGCATCAAATTTTAAATTCAAGTTAAAAAAATCGGATCATTTTTTTTTTTGCTATCGATAGTTATGTTGGAATAAGAGAACAAGATTCTATTCAATCAAAAAGTTTCAATTGAAAAATTCGGCACACTGCCCCAAATTGGTGATTGAATTCAAATTTTCTTAAATAACCAGTAAAAAAAAATCAATTCAATACTCATTCTCATTCATCCACAACCATCAATCAGGTTGATTCTGTTTTGAGTGAAACGCCGTTTTTTTTTTTTTTTTTTGTGGTTTCGTTATCGGTTTTTTTTATCCAATCCAATCAAATGTGATATCGACATTACAATAGCAATTGACAATTTCAGCATCAAATTAAAAAAAGCTAAAATCGACTGACGATATCGACACACACAAACACACAAAAGACTTTTCTTTATATTCGGTTATTCTCAATCATCAACGATGAAATGTTTAGAAATGAAGTTGCAACACAGAAAAAAAAGAAAAAAAAATTATTGATGGAGTTAAATCATGGCTCTCCGTTTTTTTTGTTGTTGCTATATTGTTTGATTAAATAGAGCGAATCTAATCGTTTGGTCCCTATAGTCCAACATAGGACAATTTTGAACATACTATTGTATAACGTGGGCACTTTGAAAACTTTTTTGTGTGTTTGGCAACAAAGCGGATAGTAAAAGAAAACTTATTAACTTGTTTCATTCATTTGAAATTTACCATCAAAATTGATGATGATGATGATGATGATGATCATCATCATCATCATCATCAAAAGACAAAAGAAATTTAACTGTTCATTTACGATAATTTCAGCATCATATTGTTGTCGATGATGATGGATATAATTTAGTTTAATTGATTTTTTTTTATTGTTGTTCATGTGTTTGAAAGGAGGTGTGTTTTTTATCATAAGTTACACATGATGATGATGATGATGACGATATCATAATGTAGGAGTATTTTTTTTTTGGTTGAACAAAGAAAAAAAAATGAAATGAAATGGCCAAAACATATATTATGTATGTATGTGTATGTGTTATTTTTATGTTTTAAAAGAAATATATATGATGTCCAGTTTGATGAATAATATAGGTCAATCATATTTGTATTGTGTGTGTGATGGTGGTGGTGGTGGTGGTGGTGGTGGTGGTGGTGGATACGAATCAATTATTATTATTAACATTTTTTTTTCTTGATTCATATCTTGTGAAATGAATTTTTTTTGCCACTTCCTACTTATTTACTTGGTTATATTTTTTTTTCTTTCTTCTATTAACCAATTTTTCTTTTCAATTGTTGTTGTTGTTGTTGTTTTGGGTTAAAGTATTTACTGTGTGAAAAAAAACAACGAATTATGTTTTTCTGAAATGAATTAAAAAATATAGAACATGCTTGCATGTAAATATCCAACATCTTGATATTTATCATCATGAAAGTAGTAATTTATCTTTTTCTTTATTCGGTCCATGGATTTTCTAGATTAATAAATAAAAAATAAAATAAGTATTTCTTGTTTATGTTGATTGACTGTCTGAACGGTGACCATTGGTCATTCAAGTCATGGTTGGATGTATTGTGGAAAGATACAACCTATTATTTATCTACAACCAAAAAAAAAAAAAAAAGAAAAATATGCGTACATTTTATGTCAAAAGTCAAAAAAAAATCATTTTTCGTTTGATCATGATGATCATGGTGGTGGTGGTGGTGGTGTTGGTGGTGATGGTAGTTGGTTGGTAACCAATCCAAAAGTGATAATTGGTTTCCCCTTTTTTGAATTTTTTCAAATTCTTTTTTTTTCGCAAAATAAATCCAGGTTGAAAATAAATGTATTTTTTTTCTCTTGTTGTTGTTTTTAACCAAAACCTAGTTGAACTAAATGTTATGTCATGATGATGATGATGATTGTTTGGTCGGTTGGTTGGTCAGATCAGATCACATTATATCTTGCGAGATGGTTGGATGATTTGGATTGATGATGATGATTGAATTTTTTTTTTTGCTTCTATGGATGTCCCGTTATATAGTGTTTTGGCCATTCCCATTTTTTTTCTTCCTTATGGTTTTTTTGTGTGTGAATATTGTGTGGCCAAACGGGCGCCAATTACCTAACAACAATGACTCCACACACACACACACACACGCTAACACATTTGATGTGTTCAACGCATAATGGCGGGTATACGGCGATTGGACATTTGGACATGGTAGTGCCTGGTGCCATTGGCTATAGAATAACGAATAATGATGATGATGATAGTCCTGTGTTCCATGTAACGTCAATCATATGATAATAAACTTACAAGAAAACCAATCAGAAAAATTGTTGACTTCGATTTGCTTTGCTGACCATCCAAACATCCAATCATCATCATCATTGTAATCAGGTTCCAGAAGTTCATTCTAGATATCTATCCATAAAATATGTTCATGTCCAGTTCATGGCTCTTTCATTTTGCCAATTGTCCAGTTATGTGTGTATGTTTGTGTTGAACATTCGTTTCTTTTTCTTCTATAAAAATTTCATTTCATTATTTCACTGATACTGTTACAATGACAATACATTCATACATATGCCGGACAGTTCATTCAAATTTCCTAACTTTCAAAACGATGTAGATCAAAGAGATGAAGAGAAAAAAAAATAGAAGAAAAAACTTACACTTGGCTAAAGAAAGAAAATCAGATGATAATGGATGACTGGCGAGAAAAAGCCTGCGATTGGATAGATTGAATGAAAATAATATTCTTATATTTTATTATTTCTCTCCATTTTTATGGATGACAAATCCACCATCCAATCATCCACCGATGTTTAGCAAACTTTGAAAAAAAGATTTCCAAATCATAACATCGCTTCATCCGCACAAAAAGAATCAATTTTTTAATAATTTAAATTTGTTGATATTTTATATATGTGAATTAATGTCGGGATCTGCATTAACTAACCGTTTTCATTTTTAGTTATTATTCTTTTATTTTGTTCACAGAGATATATTTCATAAGATTCATCATCAATCATATGTATGAATGATATATAATCAGTTAAGAGAAAAAAATGGCTACGACTGCATTGATGCAACCAGCAGCCGCGCCGACAACATCATCGCCTCAATCATCATCATCATCGACAATCGATGCCAAACAGCAGCAAGAGCAATCATCATCAATAATGATTACTAATGGACATCATTCATCCGATTCAGATTCGATATCTGATCATGAAACAACAAACCAACAATCAGAACAAATGGATACGCAACTAGCCGGATTAAAACGTAAATCATTTAATGAAACTGATAATGATGATGACGAAGATGATGATGATAAAGAAATTGAAATCAATGATGACCAAGAAATTAAACGAACGACAAGGCCAAAGTTGAATCATTATCATAGCTCAACTGAAGAAGAGGAGGAAACGGTTGATGAAAAACAACCGGATGAAACGATGAAAATAATGATGATGAACAGCAGCCAATCATCTATCAATGTCGATAATAATAATGATGGAGAAGATGGTGATGATGATAATGATAGCATAAAACCAATAGTGAATTCATTATCATCATTAATCAATATGGAAATGTCAATCAAACAGCAATCATCATCAATGAATTTAACGACGAAACCAAAGAAATTATCCACCGGAAAACTTGAACGTATTACCGAACGTTTGGCTAAGCGACAACATTCGAACGGCGGAACAGCTACAACATCGACTATTTCGTCGGTATGTGTATTTTTGATGTTTAAGTTGATTTTTTTTCTAAATAAAATATTTTTCAGATTTCAAATGGAGATAGCTTTATAAAACGGTCAGCAAGTCCAACGGATGAATCTTTATTATCAAATAATGATGACAAATCAGAATTAGCAAATGAAAATGGTGAATCAAATGATATTGATGATGATGATGATAATGATGATGATCATATGATGAAATCATCTTCAATAGATGATGATATGGATGAAGATATGAATGAAGAAGATGAAGATGGTATGGAAAATGGCTTACAAGCATTAGGCCTAATGGGCAATGTTGCATACATGAATGATGATTCATTTAAATGTCCTGTTTGTGGTTTGAAATTGGATTCACAGCATACGTTCACATTACATATTCGTTCACATAATCCAAATGATCATTCGAATACATGTAGTCTTTGTGGTAAAACACTTAGTTCAGCCAGTAGTCTCGATCGTCATATGTTAATACATTCGGGTGAGAGGCCATTCAAATGTAGCCTTTGTGGTATGGCATTCACCACCAATGGTAATATGCATCGTCATATGCGTACACATGGCCATGGATCCATTGGTTATACGCCACGTGGCCAAAAACGACGAGCTAAATTATTGACACAAGCATTGGAAAAGGCGGTAGCAGCAGCTGCTGCCGGTGAAGAAGTTGATTATGGAGCGATAAATAAACTTAAAAAATCGATACTCGAATCTAAAGTGACCGTACCGACAACAACGGGTGGTAAACGACAATCCAAAAATCAACAACAACAATCGGCAGCGACAACATTTTCCGAACAATTACTATCATCGTTGGCACCAAACGTATCGATTGAAGCAGCAGCTGCTGCTGCTGTTGCCGCTGCACATAATGCGGCTGGATCGGAAAATGGTGATAGTATCCTATCACATCTAAGTGCAGCTGCAGCGGCAGCAGCCAATTCTCAACATCAAAGTGGAAGTGGCCGTAAACATCGACATCGAAATAGCCATTCTACAATGACTACTAGTCACCATCAAGCTGCTATAACCCCGACAACATCAAAATCTAATGATAAAACTGTGGCAAAAGAATCAACATCCACAACTACTACTTCAACTTCAAATCTGCCATTGAATTTGGCCAATAATTCAATAGTATCTTGGCCAACAAATCAACATTCAACAATGAATCCAACATCTACACCACCGACAACCATACCGGAAAAGGGTCGACCAGGTCGTAAGAAAAAACAACGTCTTTCTGATCCTGTTAGCATGAATAGAATGATGAATCATCATGCTCATCACCCATCATCATTACCATTATCATTACAGCCATCATCAACACCTGCAACTCAAGTACAAATTCCACAACAGCCATCAACACCGACCATAGCACCTCCACCAACACTACCACCAACCAATCATTTATCACCATTTGGACCGTTAAAAGATCGATGTCCAATCTGTGCTCATCCTATACGTACGATGCCTGAATTACATTTACATATGATGGCATATCATATGCAGGAACGATTATTCTGTAATGATTGTGGTATGATATTGGACAATTATGATACGTATACACATCATCGATGTACAGCATCGGCAGCAACAGTCATGTCAGCATTAAGACAGAATCCAAATCTTCAATCAGATCTATTATTCTGTTCAAGTAATACATCACGTATGAATTTTTCATCCGCACGAACATATGCTGCAAATCTAGAATTATTACGTGCCGGTTTAACAGCAGCTGCCGTAACAAATGGTGGTGGTGGTCAACAACATTTACAAGCAGCCGCCGCTGCTCAAGTAATGCTACAAGCAGCTCAATTAGCACAGCAACAACAAAATTCTTCACAACAACAACAACAACAGCAACAGCAACCACCACAGCCATCGCAATCAAGAAAATCAAACAATTTACAACAAGCAACAGTTAATTGTAGTCAATGTACTAGAAAATTTTTCACAAGTAAAGAATTAAAACATCATCATGATACATATTGTCATCAATGTCAATTAGATTGTGATTCAATATCAACGTATCAATTACATCAATTTTCACATTCATTCGAAAAGCTCAGTCAATCACAACTACATTCATCACATGCTGATAAAATGCAATTATTGAAAAATGCAGCCATATCTGCATTTCCGTTTCAATTATCATCACCAACCGCATCATCACCATCATTGGTTACGAATCCATCATCATCATCATCATCATCGTTGATCTCATCAGCATCGGCGTTATCTCATCATGATCATCATTCACTAATTCAACCACCACCACCACCAACACTACCATCATCATCATCTATTTCATTGACAAAAGCCACATCTATTCCGACAATACCACAACATTCGACATCATCGTCGATTGCATCGCTTACATCAATGGCCAATATGAAACCTGATCTAGCCGATATCGAATCGATTCTATCGATTGTACATGCAACAAATGCTATGAAAAATGCTAATCATTCATCATCATCATCAACATCAACAACAACGGCTGCAACTAATAATTCAATAAATAATAATGATAATAATAATAAACAGTCAATGAATGGTACACAGCTACGTTCACCAATATCACCAAATCGTGCAAGCGATGCCGGTGATTACCGTGGTGCTACACAGATGAAACGACATTCCCAGATGAATGGTGGTGAGGCTACAAATCAACCGGATTCACCAGCATCAGCCGATTCAGCTGCCGGTGCTGTTGCCGCATCAAATTTACCGGGTAGTTGTCAAACAACAACAATGAATATGACCGTTGAACATCAACATCATAATCATCATCATCGACATAGTACAAAAACTGATCTCAATACCAATACAAATGGTACGTCGACAGCAACAGCAATGGCTTTATGTCTGACCAAATCAAATAATAACGCAACAAAAAATATTGCTCATAATGATAAAATTATATCGCCTAAATCAAAAGAATCATCATCAAAATCATCGATGGTCAAATCAATTAAATCTGAATCTCAACAAAAACACTCATCACAAATGAATGATAGCAAAACCGGAAATGTTCCCACCACTATCAATCAAAGTGGTAATAATCAAATAAAACCACCACGTTTCCGTTGTGAATCATGTCGTTTATCATTTAAATCCCTGAACGCATTACGACGTCATAATCGTGGCCATACAGCCGAAGGTGGTCATTCACATGCATGTCATCTATGTCCATATAAATCATTGGATAAAAGTACATTGATACGTCACCTACGAACACATAATGGTGAACGACCATTTCAATGTGCCATTTGTAAATATGCATTCACAACTAAAGCTAATTGTGAACGACATATACGTAAACGTCATCGAAATTTGAAATCAAAATCCGAAATTCGTAATGCAATGCAATATAATATTGATATGGCATCGACTGCAGCGGCAACAAGACTTGTAAGTGAAAAAATATTCATCGAACGTGATCAATTACCTACGTCACAGGATACTGTATGTAAAAAATGTGATGAAGATTTCGGTACGAATCGCGAATTGCGTGCACATTTACGGCAACCAAATAATCCTTGTTCACAACAATTAAAACCATTCGTATGCACTATCTGTAATATTGGTTTCAATACACGAAATAATTGTGTACGACATATTATTAAACAACATCCGACTACGGTCGAAATCGGTCACGATGATGATGAGGGTACAACAAAAATAATAGGATGCCGAAGCATTGATGATTGAAACGGGTTCCAGTTCAAGCTTAAGTCCATCACCACGAAGACAATCAACAAAATTATCATCAAAACGAAATGACAATAATCATCATCACCGTCATAATCGTCATAGATCATCATTTTCATCCACATTATCATCAGGTGAATCGTCTGAATGTGAATCATTTGCTGCTATACATTCATTTGATAATGGTGGCCATAATGGTAGTTCAAATGGAAAACGACAAAATGGTAAAAATCTAAAAATTTAGCTGCCGCCACATTTTGTACGGTTGTTGATGAAAATAATGATAATAAACAAAAACAACAGCCACCATCACCATTGAATTTATCGAAAAAATCATCATCCGAAGATGATTTCCCCATACCGATTGAAGAAGAAGATGATGATGACATTTATGATGATGAGTATGAGGATGATGATGTTGGTGAATTCGACGATGATATTGATTGTATCGATGATGACGAGGAAGATGATATTGATGAAGATGATGATGATGACGATGAAGGTGTACCAATCGAAGATGATGATTTTGACGAGGATGAAATTTCTGCTAACAATAATCATCATCATCATCAAATTGGACCAACTGTTTTAGATCTTAGTTTCAAGACAAAATAATAAATTAGTATATAACACGAAAAACCAAAAACCACACACACACACACACATTCAGGTTTTTTTTCGATTTAAATTTAAATTGTTTTTTCGTTACTAAACACTTCACACATCATATATAACACGTTGTGTTGGTTTTCGCATCAATAGTGATTTGACCAATAGAGATATTTACTTTGTAGAAATTACTGTTTTAATTCCACCGATTTTGATTCCATATATACATTGATACAATTTTTAAAAAGAATTCTCTCATTCCACATTATGTTACTGTGCTTAGTGGTCTCTATCTTTACAATGTTTTTTTCCATTGCAGGTTTTTTTTTCTTTTTTCGTTTAATATTCCTTTGACGATGAAAAACTTTGTATTATTATTTGTATTTCATCAGCAATCTGTTCGATAATCGATTCAATGCGTTCACAATGATTGCCTTGATTCTCTCTCTCTCTCTTTCTCTGGTTTGCTTTTCTTTCACATACATAATTTAAATTTTACATAATCAAAAATTCACCAAAAAAAAACGACAACTACAACAACAAACTTATCATTCAGATATAAACATTTGATTTTTTTTCACACACAACTCATTTTTTTTCTTCTTGTTGTAGAATTTTCAGACATTCTCTTACCAAACATTCATTTACCAAAACAAAAAAACAATCAAAAACAACAACAATATATATAACATAACATGATTAATTTTGATTTATCATTATTGATTGAATTTAAATTAATTAATGAATCTTCAATTGATTATTTGTCATTATTATTATAAATTCTTATTATTATCATTATTAAATTGATGGATTATTTCTTGAAAAAAAATTTGTTTTTGTTTGTTTGTTTTTTTTGCTGTTCTATATAACGTAACATTCGAATCGAACTTGTCCATTGTGCAAGACGTTCTATTTCATCGATCAATTCTTTTGATAATGGTTGCTGTTGTTGTTGTTGTTGATTTATTCTACCCATATAAGCAAATTCAATCAATTTTTCAATTACGTCACAGGAAAATGGTAAATATAAACATTTTATTTTATCATCATCATCATGTTGCTTTTCATTGTTGAAAAGAATGGCTTTATGAAAATATGGACTCAATACATACAATGGAAATGAATGTACAAGATGATGATGACAATTTTGTTTACAAATAATTTTCAAATCTTCCTGTACGTATGGAATTTTATGGCTAAATTCGATAATCGTAGAATTTTTTCGTTTCAATTTATGATTGCGGATCATTTTATCAATTTATTTAATCACCACCACACAACACTGCAACTTATATCAAATCGATTTCGTTCCAGGGTTTTTAAATGCAAGAAAAAAAAAATAAATGAAAATGAAAAATCAATTTAATTTTGTTTGAAAAAAATAAAATTTTTATTTGAACATTGCTGCCATCTGTTGGCAGCATATGATTTAAAAGCGAATTTCATTTATTAAACAAAAAAAAAATTCACTATCCTCGATTAGCGGCTTTATTTCGAGTATTCATTTGTGATGGTGAATAACTATTACCACCAGTGTTACTTCCGTCATATGAATTGGATCCATAATCATCAGTATTGCCACGTCCATTAGTGTTAGTACCATAACCATTATTACCACCTCCTCGATTATATTGAGAATTGCCATAATAATCATTCGGATAATAATTATTACCATAGTTGCCATTATACATTCCATTCGGTGGATACATTCCATTAGAACCATATCCATTATTCGAATAGATAGGAGGATATCTTCTCATTCCAGTTGTCCATGGATAATAACCACCACGTAATGAAGTTTGACGATAATAAATCGGATAAGGTGTGTAAATATAACCATTATATGGTTGTAATTGTTGCTGTTGTTTATATAAATAAGAATTTGCTGCAAGAAAAGGCATAACCGATGCTAATGGAACACGAGCACCAAGTGTCATCAATACTTGTAGATGAACAAGAGCAATATAAAAATGGAAACAATGAAGATGACAAAGAATGGCGATAAGTTTCATTTTCAATGTTTTTTTTTTGGGCTATATTCAATCAACAAAATAATTCAAAATAATGATCATCATTATTGGAAAAAAATATATCAATAAGGCGATCGAATCTATTTATATATGGATTCATTGTTGATTGTTTGGCTATTGCAGGTGATATATTTGAATGTGACAACAACAACAACATCAACAAATAGTTACATTAATGATATTTACATTTAATACCAGGTGTATGTGTGTGTGTGTGTGTGTTTGGTATGTTGTCGATATGTATATTCTGATCATGGGATGATAAAAAAAATAATGAATTTGATCAAAAAAAATAAAAATAAAAATAAAAAATGATAAAGAGAATGGTAGTCATATTTTATATTTTGAAAATTGAATGATAATCAATCAAATTTTGTTATTGTTTATTTCTTGTTGACAAATTATCATCATTATTTTTATTTTTTTGATGTCCATCACCACAATCAATGATGATCATCATCATTATTTGGCGTCCATTCAACCTTTATTGGAAAAACAATAGATTTTATCATTCAAATTCACAGATATCCAAAATTTTTTTTTTCACAGGAAAAAGAAAACAAAAGAAAAAAATATTAAGGAATTTATCAAACATTTTTATTTTCACATTTAATGTTTATTTTTTTATTTGAATTTCAGCAATCAAACAATCTTTTCTATGCTGTGTCCATATTAGAGAGTTTGTCAAATGATTGTCACTTTTTTTCAAATATTTCATAAATAGGATGTGATAATAATGAAATTTAAAACACGAAGAAAAAAAAAACATTGTTGTGATATGAATTGTGTTCTTGGTAGTGGTGGTCGTCGTAATCGTTGGTGATGATAATAGTTGTTGTTGATGTTGTTGTTGAATGTCCTTGGATCTGGGTGCAAATTTTCCTTTATTTATTTATTTTTAATGATTCAAATAAAATTCGTCAAACGGTTTCTGTTTCGTAAATCTTGAATTACGAAACGTATGTCTGCCTGCCAGTGTTGGTGTTTGAATTTCATCATTAACAAGCACATTTACAAGCGCATTCTTTTTTCTTATTGTTGATATTTTCAAACGGTATTGGAGCCTGTCGTTTATTTCTACCTAAGCTATTTATCGGTGATGGTCCATTGCCTTTACCAGCATTATTTTCAATGGATTTCGGTGCTGGATCTTTACCATCATCATCATCATTTTTATCCATCGGACGACTTGGACCACTAATAATAATCAATTGACGAACCGGTTTCGGTTCAGATTGATCATCATTAGAATCAGACATAGATGAAAATGAGGATTGAATAATCGGATTTCCTTCTTTTGATAATTTTGGCTGTTGTTGTTGTTGATCATCATCACCACTATGGCATGAGAATATCAATTTTTCACCAGTCAAATGTACAAGTCGTGGATCGGTGGTAATATTGCCAAACGGTGTCATCAACTATATATAATAATGAATCGATAAATTAAAAAGACAAAGAGGAGAGAATTGAAACACATTATGAGAAACAAAGAAGGAAAAAAAGCCATACAATAATCAAATGTTAATTATTGAAAAGTTTGATAGGGATCATTGATCACAACAACAACAACGACAACAGAACAATACACACAAACAAATATCCAACGGTGATTTGTGTACAAAGACAACTAATGAATGTGATCGATATAATTGGATTGCTATCAACTAATCAATCAAGGAGGAAATTTTTTTTCTTTCATGTCTCCATCTGCCTATTGTCATCGATCTATCTTTCATCAGGTTGTATAGGATTGAGCAGAAAAAGCTCAGATCCGGTTTCTCTTATACATTCGAATAACAAAGCATTCGATTATACGATTCATAAATAACGTTCAACAAAGATTTTGTCAATTGATTGTTGCGCTTCAACGATTTTTCGAAGGTTTTTTGTGTCTAGATATAATATTCTTAGAATTTAATTCAATTTGATTTAATTTTGTTGACCATTTTCAAATCAAAATCGATACCATTAATATCATGATCATCATAGCATATATCTTACCTTTTTCGGTTCCGATGCGATTATCTGATTAGCTGTTTTACGTTCAATCACACAATTTACATGACCTTTTTCATCATCACCCATTGCATTAATCATTTCCTAGTTTAGAAAAATTTCAAGTAAATTTCAAAAATCGTATAGAAATCATTCACACTTACACCTGCTCGGCCACTCATTCGTAGACTAAGTGGAATATGACGTTGTCCTGATGAATATTCATCATCTGGTTCGGATGTAGCCATCATCGGTTCAAAATAAGGACCACCATGGCTTGCTTCTGCCGTAGTAAATTCAGTACATTGTAATGATTTGGACTGAATATAAACAGAAACCAAAATAAACGATCCGATAATGACCGTCATGAACAACATAGTTCGTGCAATTAATCGGGCAACCAACATTGCGGTCGGTTCATATTGTTGTCGCTATTTTTCAATTAATAGCAACGTTAGTGTTTATGAATAATCCATAGAAGTGTGTAAACCGAAAAAATACATACCGATGTTCCAATCAATTCGGTACCACTCATACTACCCGTTTCCATTTCGTTCGATGTTGTTGATACACCCATCAATTTGGATTCCATTCGTGCAATACCAGCGCTAATCGAATTGGTCAATTTCATTTTATAAAATAATTAAAATTTTCTTTTTTTGTTTGTTTGTTTGTTTGTCACACTGCTGATTCACAAAATCACTAAAAAAAACACACTAAACATGAATATATACGACCTCACAATGAAGTCTATGACTTAAGAAATTGAAATTTATCAAGCTTTTAATAATTGAAATTTCCACTAAACAACAACAACAACAAGAAATTGGTAACAATATATTCAACAAACAAAAGAGAATGACAAATAAAAATTTTTGAGAAAATGAATCAGAAACGTAAATGAAAATGAAAATGAAGAAAAATACTCAAAAAAAAGAGAATTTCTCACCGAATTAAAAATTTCACTTTCGGTTTTTTTTCTTTCACAAATGTTTCAATGGGATTGGAGCAATAACAGCAACAACAACAACAACAACAAAGAGAGTTGGTTAACTGATTCACAAGAAAGTCTAAAAGTCTAATTCGCATGTATACAATGAATTTATATATCGATGAGATTTATGCCCAATGCTTCGAGCCTTCAAGTTGGCCTTGTACATTTGCCCATTATTACAATTACAGCTTTAATAATAATAACTTATTATTCTCCTAAATAAACATGCAAGATATCTGTATCTGTATAAAAATATATATTGTGGATCGAGGCCAACCACCAAAAAGATACAAACAACAACAACAACAACAACGAAAAATGGACAAATCAATCATAAACCAAATAGGTGAAATATATTTACATTTAAATTTTTTTTTTTTAAATAGAGAAAAAATGAGTAGAAGAAAATTACGCCGGAAATGCACGTGATAGCTCAAGCGGAACCACACGTCGAATGTGTGTGTGTGTGTGAGAGAGAAAAAAAAACTAGTTGATGATTTTTTATGATTTACTAACTAGATTTTCAAAATATCTTAGATTAAAATTATTTTTTTTTTTTTTTGAAAGAGAAAAAAATGGACAAGGACGATCATAATCAATTGGTCAACCGATATCCATTATTGGTCAAGATCGTGTAAAATTGTTAAAAAAAAATTAGTTCAGAAATTATAAAAAAAATTCTGAAATTTTAATCAGGACAATTATGATGGATTTCATCATCATCAGTATAATTATGAATTAGGTTATGCACAATTATGATAATGATGATGATGATAATGATGACTAGGCCGATTAAATTCATGCACAATTCAATTTATATCACAACCATTTATAATGATGATGAGATGTCTGTTGTGGACATTTCATCAATAAATAGCTACATGCAACATGTATTATCGTATTCTATTTTGGCTATCATTTTTAATTGTTTTTCAATCACCATCATTAGTATATGGACAAAATTGGCTAATACAATATCTATTACCGACGGATTATGATCCAGAAATACCACCAATAATTGATGGTGAAGTTTATGTTAATTCAACTATACAAATACATACATTTCGAATTGTTGATGAACAAGAAGTGAGTGTTATAGTGTTGAATGTCATTTTATTTTATGGATTCGATTTTTTTTTCACAGGGTTTTCGTGCCGATCTTGATCTTTGCCTTAAATGGCAAGATTATCGTCTTCAATCGATTGATATAAATAATGAAATGAATGTGTCACGTTGGATATTGAATCGTTTCGGTGGTCATTATGATAAGATAAAATTAACCGATGTTGATAGTCTTTGGTATCCGGGTGTTTATTTTCGAAATTCAGTTTCCACACAAATAACACAGGCATTATTACCATTACAGTATATGGAAATATGGCCTGATAGTAAAACGGTTCATATGTGTATCCGGTTTCGTGTATATTTTCAATGTCTACTTGAATTAAGCAATTTTCCATTCGATAGTAATCGTTGCTATTTTGAGCTTGAAAATTGTTAGTATCTGATAATTCGATTTAATATATTGTGAAAATTTCATTATTTTGTTCATTGAAAACAGTAGAACGTCTTCGATTATATATGGAATGGATACAAAGCCCGGATGGTAATTCACAGGTTCGTGTAATGGAAAGATTTACTGGTTATTGCGAACCGATCGGTTTCAACACATTTCATCCACATCGTTATGATCTACAATCATATACGAATGTATTCAATAATCAATCATGTGTATACGGAGGGTTGAAAATTGTTCGTCATATTAATTATTATATCATACGATATTATACCGGAACATTTCTTTGTATGTGTATCTGTTGTATTGGACCATGGATCACCATTTTGGCCTATCCAGCTAGAACAATTTTAACAGCAACAGTATTATATGCAGTCATTCGAATTAGTCATACCGGTTATGATGAAGTTCCGGCCCGTGATGTAGTCTCATTATATTGGTGGTTCTGGTCTGTACAATGTTACATCTATATCTGTATCATGGCATATGCATTGGCTATTGCTTGGTTTTATTTCGCACGAGAAAAAGTTGATTTCCATAAACGTGGCCTTGAAACACCTGATGGACATTATTTTGGTAAAAATACCTGGTATCGTTACTGGGGTCATTTGATGGACAGATTTCTACATTGGGTTTTTGGTCCAATAGATTTTCAGGCCAGTCCAATGCATCGAAATAAAGTGGATTATTTTGCTCGAATTTTTCTACCTGGTCTAATGTTATTATGGGTATTTGTCTATTTGGTCGCAACATTATCACCTTGGGCAACAAAATATCGTTATTATTAAAATCAGAATTAGAACACGTATTTAAAAAAATTGGAATAAAAATTTTTTGAAAAAAATCATCATCATAATGATTTGTATAAATGAAAATTTTATCTTCGTCACGGTCAAATTAATGTTAATATAAATCTGAGCGACATAGATTTGAATCCTAGTTTTTTTTTGTTCGGGGAGCGACATCAATATATGTGTTCAAAACTATGTCCACCCAGATGGTTCATCGAAAAATTTCATTTATGTTTGTTATATTTTTAATTATACAACTGTTGTTTGGACAATCGATTGGTCAGAATTGGCTAATCGATAATATTCTACCTGATAATTATAATCCGAATGTTGCACCATTAATCGACGGTTCAGTCATTGTAAATGTATCGATGCGTGTACATAAATTCGATGCTGGTGATAATCAATTGGTTAGTGTTTTTGATGATTAAACTTTTGATGATTAACTCCGTTTCTTGAATATTATATATGTAGACTTTAGAAACTGATTTGACTATGTGCCTGCAATGGTTCGATCCACGTATATTAGATTTCAATCTTACCACCGTTTCTGATCTGATTCCGGGTAAAGAATTGCGTAGTAATATCATTGTACTCACCGATTATAGCCGTATATGGCTACCACAAATTTATTTCCGTAATGCAATTACAACACAAATTGTTAATAGTTTTCAAGTTGTTGAAGTTTATTCACATGATAAAATATTTAATTGGTGTTCACGTATCGACATATCATTCATTTGTCGATTTATTTTGTCGAATTTTCCATTCGATGAACATTATTGTTATTTTAAGCTACAAACACGTAAGTGTAATAATGATTTTTAAATATGATTTTGACATTTAATTTAATATATTTTCATTGTTTATTCATCACAGTTGGTACATCGATTCCCTATGTTCGGTTACAAATGCATGAACATCTTAAATCACCTGGTCATAATAATCAATTCGTTGTACGTGAAAGTTTATTGGGCGATTGTAATCCGGAAAAAGAACCACTGAATCGTTTCGATCGAATCTATCATAATCTAGAGCATCGTTGGAATGATGATAGCTGCATTTATGCTGGCCTTAGAATTGTTCGCCATGTAAATTATTATATTATCCGATATTATCTGCTTAGTTTCTTATTGGTCTGTATTGCTTTCGTTGAATTCTGGTATCCGGTTGCAGCTTATTCAGCAAATGGTCGTATGGTATTGACTGTCATTTGTTTAGTCAACATAATCGGTCTTAGCCGTGAATGTTATAATGAGGTTCCTTGTAAAGATGTTGCATCATTATATTGGTGGATGTGGGGTTGTCAATTTTTTGTCTATATGTGTCTAGTGGAATTTGCATTAGCTTATGGTTGGTTTTATTATATTGCAGACAAAAAGAATGCACGTGCAAGAGGTATTGAAAGTCCAGATGGTTATTATTTCGGTAAAGGTGGTTTTTATCGAAGATGTGGTCAAGTATTGACCAATTTCTTACGGATGATTTATGGTAATTTACCGTTTCATGAAGATGAAGTGAATAGAAATAAGGTCGATTATTTAGCCAGAGTTGTATTTCCGGCTACATTACTATTTTTTACATTAATCTATATTGTTGCTACTATTCCGGCATGGGTGGCCAAATATTGAATTTTTTTATCATTTTCTCTCTTGTTTTTGTTGTTGATATTTGTCCTATATTTTTCATTTGTTAATGACTTGTAAAAAAAACTTTATTTGAAATAAATAAATATTCAACAATGTTCAAAATCAATTCAAACGTGTGTTCGATAGACTGAAAACTAAAAATGAATTTCTCTATTCCAATGTTGATAATAACAACATTATGTCTGTTGATTGTTCCAGTTGTAAGGGCACAGAATTGGCTTCTGGATTACATTTTACCACCAGATTATAATCGTGATATGATGCCCATTAAAGATGATGTTCGACATTCTATACAAGTGAATGTTACACTTTATATCAATATTTTCCATGGAACAGATGATGAATTGGTAAATTAATTAATTTTTTTTTATTTAGCTATTTGTGTATAGATGTATTTGTTTTTATTGGATCATTTTTTTACAGCATCTAGATACGGATCTATATCTTTGTTTAAAATGGTATGATTATCGATTGTTATCGTTACCGGAAGAGCTTGCACCACCACCAGTGAATTATAGCGAGCCACGAAAAATATATAAAAAAGTTCAGATTACTGATTATGAACGATTATGGATACCGAAAGTTTATTTCCGTAATGGTGTTTCGTCAGAAGTGGTCAATAGTCTTCGTGATATACAATATGCAAGTATTTATCCGGAAAATCATCGTGTAAAATTCTGTCAACGATTATCGACTATGTTTATGTGTCATTTTATTACATCAAATCTACCGTTTGATGAACAACATTGTTATTTCGAAATTGAAAGTCGTAAGTGAACATTTTTTTTTTGAATTGGAATTTAAATTTTGTTTTGAAATTTTTTTTTCATCAAGTTGCAATATGGAATGATAATATAACGTTGAACATAACAAAATTTCGAATGCCCGATGGTAATGAACAATTTCGAGTTCGTGAACAAATAACCGATATTTGCAGACCAAGATTAATGGATCCATTCAATCCGAATCTTGGCTATAATTTAACACAACATTCATGTGCATTCGCTCGTGTTCAATTGGTTCGACATGTTGGTTATTATATAATGCGTTATTATACACCCACTGCATTGTTAGTATTCATGGTTTTTATACAAATGTGGACACCAACTGTATGTGCACCTGGTCGTGCTATACTTACCGGTGTTGTTGAAATGACACTGAAAAGTGTTAGTATTACCGCATATGGTGAGACAACATCAAGACATGTAACATCACTATTCTGGTGGCAATGGGGTTGTCAATTTTTTATATATGTATCCGAAATGGAATATGCATTGATATTTGGTTGGGCACACTTGATCGTCGATAAACATCATGCCCGAAAGAATAATTATGTATGTACGAATTTCATATTAATGAATTTTAAATTTATTTTTTTTTCATTCATTCATTTCTTTTTTTTATCCGATTGCAGACAAGTCCGGATGGCTATTATTTTGGCAAAAATAATTGGTTCAAAAAATCTGGTGCAGCCGTAACAAAATGTTTACATTTTATATACGGCCCAATAGATTTTTTTGCCGATCCAGTTAATCGTAATAAAGTGGATTATTTTTCACGTGTTGCATTTCCGGCTGCATTTTTCTTTTATAGCTGCCTTTATGTTGTGGCTAGTTTTCCACCATGGGCATGGAAATATCGTATGCATTGAATGGCCATGGCAGGAATGGTTTGTCCTCTTTACTGTGAATATATGCCATCATCATTTGAACTACATTTAATAACAATAATAATTCCATATGAAATGAGATGAAAAAAAAAATTTATATATTTTAATTTAATATTCATATTCGAGAAACGAAAATAAAATTTCAACAAATTCAAAATTCATTTTGATCTTTCTATTAGTACACAAATACCGATGATGATGATGATGATGACAATGTGTTGGTGGTGGCGGTTATGTCATATATTTTTGTTTATATTTTCATCCATCATAATCATCAAAGCCGACAATAAAGATGATGATGACAATAAATTACAAGCGGTAACAGTACCATTCGTACCACCAATTTATATTCGTGGACCATCAATAGAACAATATATTGATTCAATTTTACCAATTGATTATGATCGTCAAAAACGACCATTGAATCCATATACTGCTGATAGTGAGTACCATAATTTTAATGATGATGGATGTATGTATGACTGATTGTAAATGCATTCATATTTATGATTTATTATTAGCGATTACCAATGTATCGATATCGATATTTGTCAATGAATTAAAAGATGTCGGTGATGTACATCAAAACTATGAACTTGATCTTACACTCATACTTGAATGGTATGATCCACGTATACTTTCTGATCAAATTGATCTTCAGGTTAGCATCAATGAAGAATCACTCATACAAAAATTCTGGCTACCCGATCTGTTCATTGTGAATGCACAATCAATATCGGTTATTCAGGCGGTAAATCCGATTCAAAAATTAACCATCACTGAACGTGGTATGATGCATTATGTACGACGATTAGATGCACAGCTACAATGTTCAATCAATTTAGAAAAATATCCACATGATCATAATTATTGTGATATCCGTTTTTCCACTAGTAAGTCTTTTGTGTATTCCAATTTTTTATGTTTCGAATTCTTATTATTCATATCATCTTTGTGTGTTTCGTTTCAGTATTACACAATACAAGTGAAATATTCATATGGATTAATCATTTAAATATCTATCAGGATGAATATCCACATTTTCGTGTACGTGAATGGTATACTTGGGATTCATGTGCTTCATATAATTATCCGATACCGGAAAATCCATGTATAGTTGTGACGATAAAATTAGTTCGTCATCTTAGTTACTATGTAATACGTTATTATTTACTCGATTTTCTTGCCGTTATCGTTAGTTTTATTAGTTTTTGGATTCCGGTTAATATGTGGCCTGCAAGAATTGCTCTTACAGTCATACCGTTATTGAATCTAATCACACAAGATATATCGGTTAATAATGAAATACAATGTAATTATGTAACATCATTCCATTGGTGGATGATGTGGATTCAGGGTATTATTTGGGCCGTCATAGCTGAATATGCGCTGGCACTGGCATGGGCACATTTTATTGCAGATAAAAAGAATCATCATAAAAAATGGAAAGAACAACAGGATCAGATTGCCGCCGGTAATATATCAACGATAACGAATCCATTGAAACCATATTATGATGGTTATTATTTCGGTAATGATAATTGGTATAAAAAATGTGGCGACTTTTTCGATCTATTTTTATTCTATTTCTATGGTGAAGTTGATTTTCAACGTGATCCATATGTACGAAATAAGATTGATTATTTGGCTAGAGTTTTGTTTTCATTATTATTTTTTATGTTTTGTATGGTTTATTCATTGGCAACGGCCGCACCATGGGCTGGCAATTATGACTAGACAGAATTTTTAACAATTATTTTTTTTTTAATTTTTGAATTTAATTTTATTTGTCTGAAAAATAAAATAAATACGTTTTGATTGAATTTCGAGGTTTCCAGTTCAACACATCGTTAGTGTTTGTCATCGAAATCGGGTTATTGTTTTTGATGATGATGATGATGATGACACTGTCAAATTGGTCACTATTATTGTCGACGGCCATAGTAATCATTACCGTTTTCATCACTGTAAACAATGTCGAATGTTATGATACAAGCCTGGATTTTGATCTAGCATCATTGATACCAGATGATTATAATCCAAATGTACGACCATTGAACCCATATGGTCAAAATAGTAAGTAAAGAAGAAAAACTAATTAATTTTTTTCAAAAATTAAAAAAACTAATAACATTCCATCCCATTGGGCACAAACAGCAACAACAAATATATCATTATCATTATATATGAATTTATTGAAAAATGTTGACAATGCTAATCAACATCTGGAAATGGATCTAATCATTGTACAGGAATGGTATGATACAAGAATAAATCTTGATCTAATAGAAGGTCAAGTGACAATATCTGAATCGGACAAAATTCGAATGTTTTGGCTACCGGATACGTATATTATAAATGCTCTACGTGCACGTGTTGTTGATTCATTTATACCGGCACAAAAATTGATCATCAATTCACAGGGATTAATGTATTTTGCCATACGAGTACTTACACAGGTTAAATGTTCATTAAATCTACAACTATATCCAATGGATTATCAACATTGTCACATTCGATTTTCATCGCGTAAGTATCATTAATAATGACAGCCACAGATATTGTTGAAATTTTTTGTCATCTTTTTACAGTTCTTTATAACCATGAACAATTGATGCTCACATGGAAATTATTCGACATACATAAAGATGAATATCCAGAATTTAAAATTCGTTTATGGTACCAATATGAAATATGTCGACCATGGCAGAATCCAATACGGCAGAATACGTGTATTGTTGCTACGATGAAACTTGTACGAAATCTCAATTATTACATTATTCGATATTATCTTCTTACATTCCTTACGGTTATAATAAGTTTTATTGGATTTTGGTGTCAATTGAATGGTTGGCCTGCACGTGTCACAGTTATGCTCGTTCCATTGATGGATCTGATTAGTGAAGATATTGATGATAATAATGATATTCAAGTTAACTATGTGACAGCATTTCATTGGTGGATGATGTGGATACAAGGTTTTGTTTATTTAGTCATGGTCGAATATGCTGTTGCCATTGCGTGGGCACATTTCATTATGGATAAAAAGAATCACCGAAAAAAGCTACAAGAATATCTAGCTGCTCAGGCACAAGGTGTGGCCACCATCGGACCACCACCTCCTCCCGTATTGCTCGGTTATTATTGTGGAAATAATGGCTGGTATGCTCGAGCCGGCCGTTTTGTAGATCGAATGATTTATTTTTTCGTCGGTGAAGCCGATTTACAACGTAACCCATATGTTAGAAACAAGATTGATCACACATCTAGAATACTTTTTCCACTAATATTCCTGTTGTTTGTAGTGATCTACATTTTAGCCACTGTTGCTCCATGGGCAGCCAATTATAATTGAAATAAAATTTTAAAATTTAAAAATAAATATCTATTCTCAATCGAAGACACAGGATGGCAGCATTATTAAACAGAAAAAAATTTTATTCGTTATTCCATGAATGGTTATTGAAATAAGTTTCCAACATCCGTTCATCAATCGGATCAAATATATTCACTTTTGAGCTATTCGTAAATAATGTTTGCATATTCGAATCATTTATAGCTAGATTTAAATCTCGATTTTGACCATTGTTATTGGAACGTGGTCGTGGTAACGAATGATGATGATGATTGTGACCATCATTAAATAATAAGGTCTGATGATTATCATCATCAGTATGATAGGAAGGAGATTGAGATGTATTATGTGGCGATAATTCACATTCACTGATCGATCGTTTATGATGGTGATGATGATTCTGTAACAGCGAACTATTTACAACAAATATGTAAAGTAGAAGATAATAATAATCATAAAGAAACAAATTTCAATAAAAATATGGGTCAAAAATTTTTGAATAAGAAATAACTAACTTGGAACAACAACAATTTTTGCCATCCATGACCGAGATGCTTATTTTTTGTATTGGATTCTGATACGAATTAGGATAATGGCCATCACCATCGTCATCATCATCGTTGTCAGCGTTGTTGTTAGTATCGTTGTTATGGTTGGTATCAACAATAATATCATTATTATTCAAATGATTTATTATCGGCCGAATACCAATGTCGACCAAATCATCGTTATTATTATGATTGTCGCTAAAGCAACGAGAATTATCCGACTCCATCGCTGTCATCATCATATGGGAATGTTGTTGATAATGATTCGAATGTAAAGTGTTTGTTTTCCTATATATACGACATGACAATTCATTTGATTCTATTCTTTCATGCTCGTTTGTCATACTGGATGCCATTTCATTCATATTGTTATCACTCGATTGTATGGCGGTTGAAATCTGTATATTGTCATCATCATTTTGTTGTTGATGATTGTCATTATGATTATGATGATGATGATGATTGTTATCATTGAAACTATTATGTACTATTACGATAGCTGTTTTTGTTGGTGATGTTGCTCGGTTCAAACATTCAATTGGCCGTGTCTCAGTCCTCGCTATTGTCGCTGTAGAAGTTGTTGTTGCCGTCGCTGTAGTCATTTTCCAAGATTTATCGGGATCATTATGATTCAATAATTCAACTTGTTCTATAAAAGTTGATTGGTCATTTATTGTAGATAAGATATAGATGAGTAATTTGGAAATAATTTCTACATACCTTCTAAATTATTATTATTGAATTCATTATGAATCGTAACGATTGGATGATTATGATTGGCGATAAATGTTAAATTGTTTGCATCTAATGTTGTCAATTTTGGCGATGATGATGATGGTGAAGAGGAGGAAGAAGAAGAAGAGGATGATGGTGATGAATTATTCTTGTGGAATATTCTTTTCCTGTTTGTCGTTTGTTGGTTCAATGATTTCGGTGAACGAACATTTTCGAATTTTGATGTTGATGTTGTAGTGGTAATAAGTTGTCGTTTTTTCAATATACCCATTGGACGGATGTTTGGTGCTTGAAAATTGAATAATACATGCCATGAATACCATGGTAATTGTTGTCGTTGTTGGCATTTTATTATTGAATTTAGTCTAACTGGTACATTGTTATTCAATGGTGAACCAATGAATGTACAGCAGAACATTTCCGCTTCCAACAATGAACTTGGCAATAGGCCATCACCATTTGTTTCCGGTAGTATTAAGCTCATTATACTGGATATGAACAATAATAATGTACTGAGCAAATAATGCCATGGATATTGAATGATTAATGTTGTTTTCGATTCATCCAATTCCGTGATAGCTAATGTTGAGTTGAATTTGAGCTGAAAAATCTGTGCCAATTTTGTTGTTGATATGTATAGTGATATTCGGGGATATTTGGATGTATAATACATTATAACAGGCAGTAAAATAAGAAATAAATGACCAAATGCCCAACAGGTACGATATGCGGGTCGACATTGATCATTTGGTGCAAGAAGCTCATATGACCATATAACAAGAACAATGAAGGCACTTGAATGGAAAAGTTTCATAAGGCCAAAACTGATCAATGAATATTCGTAATGTTCATTCCAATCGAATAGAATTGATGTATAAGAATAATTTCGTAGATTAATGGAAGACATTGAAAAACCGGTGATCAAAGTTGATAATGTAGCCAATAATGAACAGATTAGAAATGTAAATTTACGTCCGAATCTATCTAATACACATATATAGGTGGCCATACTAGCCAATATACTGATTATAATACCGAAGGTGAATAAATAATATAGACGATAATCACCATTGTTTGTATTAAAAGATTTTCTTAATGATGATGATATCGATGGATTTTTTCGGATAAAATCGATTAGAAAAAAATTATATGCAATATTCAATGTAAAATTAATCCATGATAAAAACAATATGACTAGAAATTTTCTTCGCATATTCGGTAGCTGAAGAATTGAACGTAATGTCGTATCGGTTTTAATATTTAATAAATTCGATGACAGATTTTTTCCACAATTCTCATCGAATGATTTTGATGATTTTGTCATAAACATTTGATTAGGTTCAAGCATTTGTTGTTGATTATAATGATTGTTTATTGATAATTTTAATGGTTCATCTAGTTGACAATCGGCTAACAATGATGATATCATAAATTCACGATAGATGGCCAATTCGATATGTATTCGCCGCTAAAAATGATGAAATTGTATTATTTTGTTTCATTTATTGAATAGAAAAAAAAATCTGCAATTACCTTCAATGAATCATCAAATTCTGGATCGACGTATTGAAGATTCGTATGAGCAATGTCCAATATTTGTCGTTCAAGTTTCTGTACATGTCCATGTACCAGTTGATAGCTTACCGATTCGGGAAAAAACCACCACCAAAATAGAAATAGGGTAAATGGTGCTGATATAGCAAATAAAATTGATTGATAATCACGTATCCAATAGGCAATCAATGCCAATGGTAATACACCCAACAAACGAATCAGTTCGTTGAGAAAAATGATTTTCGACATTGAACGAATGCCGGCTATTTCAATCACTATAAATAAATATCGATCGAATTTTTTTTATTATTTCTTGTTATTTTATGATTATTTGAACTTACTTATATCGGTCGAAATCAACGAAATGGTTGGCAATGATAATCCCAATAAAAAACGACATAAGGCAAAATGTTTGAATTCTTGTGCCATTGATGCAAGTGTGCCGGAAATACATTGTAAAATGAGCATAAGAAAATATGATCGTCTATAACCGATACTAGAACAAAAACGAAAAACAAAATAAAAAATAAAATAAAAAAAAATAAAGTCATCAACATCATCATCATCTCAAATGAATGTACGAAACAATCGATAACAATCAAGTAATTTTGAATTATTGAATGAAATAAAGAAAAAAAAACTTACTTATGGCATAGGAAATAATGTAATAAAAAACCAATGAGCAAACCGATTAGAAAGACAGTGATGATTAGATATTGTAGCCATTCATTTCGACATACAAGATTCCACTGCATGATAAAATAATAACAACAACAATAATAATAAAATGAAAAATAAAAAGATCAAAAAAATATATCGAAAATCAAATAATAATTCAATTGAGCGGAAATTGAAACCACACACACACGGAGAGAGAATCATTATCATCATTGATATTGATTCCATTATTAATTTCAATGTATCTAGGATTGAGTTGGTGACCAGAAAAAACCAGAAAAATCATCTATTCCGAAAAATTCCAACAACTGAACACACACACACACACAAAGTTATAACGACAACTATAATGGAGAGAAAGAGAAAAAAAATTGATACAAGACATATCAATTATAAATATGATTGAAAACAGAACAACAACCGCAACAAATCAACTCCATTTGGTAATGAAAAAGCCCGAATTTCATTCATCCATTTCCATTTTTGTTTTTGCCCTTCATTTCAAAACCATTGTATTATTTAATTACTTTTTTTTATTGTTTATCGTCATATATATGATGTGGACTATAGTTGGCTGGCTAGCCAATTAAATTGATCCAAATAATAATTGTATAAATCAATCTAAATTGTCATTAATCAATTGCAATAGCAACAATAATGATGATGATGATGATGATGATGAGAAAAAACATTAAAATCTAGTTTTTGTCGTTGTTTTTGTCATCACCATCATTATTGAATTTTTTAAAAGAATAATAATTTGTTGAAAAATTTGGTGGCAAATTAAAATTCTAAGTTTTTTGTATTCGAATAGTTTTCTATTTTGTTCATTAATGTTGCTCATGTAATTGTCAAAAAAGGATATTTCAAAAACAAAACAAAAAAAAATTCAAATCCAATCCTATGAATCGAACAAGATCGAATCGATCACATACTGGTCAAGGGGCCAGAACGTTCATGTTCAGGTCTGATTTGTAAAAAAGATTTTGAAAAATATCTAACAACAGGAAAACAAAAACAAAACAATAAAAGAATCAAACATAAATAATTGGTTAGTCAACACACACACACACCAAATCACAATAGTAAATTCGAATTCGAATGTGATCCATCATCCACAATTCAACGAACCTGTATAACAACATGGTCATCAATGAGAAATCAAATGGTCCAGATTTATAATAATATAATGGATATATCCACACAAACACACACACACGCATCCAAGAACATTCAGCATCATTAGCCATGACAATGATGATGATGATGTCTAGTTGGATGTGCCCAGAACGAAAAAACTGAAGAACAGAAAAAAAGTCTTCGAAAACGTCAAACTTTGTCTGTTATCAAATTGAAAATGATGAATGAATGAATGAAAAAAAAAACATAGTGATAATAAGTACCCTTTGTTTTGAAGTAAACAAAAAACTTGTTTTTTGGGATTCTTCTTTTTGGTTATTTTTTATATTTGAAATTTAATTTCAAACAGAGTTTGCGTTGTTTGAATATTCGTTTTCGATTCATTCGATTGTTCCAGACAAACACACATGATATACATGAAATGCTGACAAACAAAATGGGCTAAATTGGCGATGATTTATGACCACGAGAACAAAAACGAAAGAAATGACAGAATTGAGCAATGATAGTAAGATAGAACCAGATAGAATGAAATTTTAGTAAGAATTTTCTTATGGCCATTGGAATAACAAAACGAATCTTTGTCCATTCTCATTTTCATTCACTCATTTCTATTCGAATTTTTTTGCAAACTAAAAAATATATAAAAACAAGACTGAATTCAATGAAGATGACAGAATTCTTTAGAATAAATCTTTCTTATCTGATTTTAAACAAATGATAATATTTAAATTGAATTAAATTTGAATTTATTTATTCCTTTTCTAGTCGTTGTTATATTGCTTCCAATCGGACAAAATGGATCAAAAAAAAATAAATAAAAAAATAAAACTTCGGTTCCATCATAAAGATTTCTTGGGGCTGATTTTAATGAATAATAATGATGATGATTTCGTCGTCATCGTTGTCGTCGACGACTATAGCGGAAACAAATGGCAACGATGACAATCACAATACAATACAAAACAAAACAAAACGAAAAAATACTTGAATCGATTTTTATTCTCAAAAGTCTCAACATATTCTATTTTTCTTTTCTATTTTGCTTGTATTTCGAAACTATGTACAATGATTTTGTTATTTCGAATCTTTAATCGATTTCTCAGAATGGATAGAATTTGATCATTTTTTTTTTGTTATATACTTTACCATTTTGGATTCGAAGAGAATAAAATTTATCGGACCATTATTTGAATGAAAATTGATTTTAGAATGAGAAAGAAAAAAAAAGCTGAATCACAATCAGAATAAGAATATGTTTTCACCGAGTGGATGATGGGTTTATTGTCAAAAACATCTTGTAATACATACATATTCGTTTGTTAACAGAAAAAAATAGGAATGTTCATTCATATCGAAAAAAAAGAATAAAATGAAATCATTTAGTCCGTAAAATGAGATGTAATTAAGTCACAAATTTATATTTATATGAAGTGTTGTCTATTCAGTTTGTTTTTTTTTGTTTATTTGTTTGTTTTGAATGTATTCTTAATGTGTTTACCATTGTCATAAATACACAAAAAAAAAAAAAAAATGAAAAGAAAAATCAACGGTAAAAATGATTCAATTGAATTTAACATACAAACATTTCATGATCACTATCATAGAAAAATCAAATGAATGAAATGAAATGGTGAGAAAAAAAACGAACAAAAAAGTTTTAGTCAGCCAGTATCGATCCGGCTAGTTAAAACTTAATACTTAATACAAAATCGAATTGTGTGAATGAATGAATGAATCAATTAGACCGAAATGAAAAAAAGACCATAGAAATTATATTTTCCTAGTTTTTCTATTTCCTGAACAATAAACATTGATGATGATGATGATAGTCAATTATATAAAATTTTTCATTCAACATTTACACATCCATTCACATTTCACACTATTCGATGGAAAGAGAGAGGTTTCAAAACAAAACAAAACAAAAAACAGAAACAGAATTCTATTCGATGATAGATCGAAAAACAGCTATCATCAACAATGATGATCAACGAATTGGCAAAATATAATCAAGCTAAATTACTATGAAGACGACAGATTTTTATTTTGATTTTTTTTACTCGCTTCCATCTTGTTTTATTGTCGTTCTTGTTGTTGTTGTTTTGTCTTGATTCTATGTTTGGTTCATCCATTCATTCATTCGGCTTGAACATTAGCTTAATTAATATAATATCATCTTGAATAGATAGTCTGTGTGTGTGTGTGTGTGTGTGTGTAAAAAAAATCTAATCAGTTTTTGTCGGTTGACAATTAAATTGAATTGAATTTTTTCATCTATTTTCGAATCGACACACGCACACATAAGGGATAAAAAATAGATTCGCAAAATGAAAATGGTGTTTTTTTCTCACTATAAAATTGAGATTCTGATGATTAACGAAAAATGTTAATTTTTTTTCTGACGCTATCATCATTGTAATTAAATGGGATAATTTTTTTAGTTGTCACGAAAACATTTCCGTTTGATTCATTGGTTGGTTGATTCAACATTCACTAAACATTCGCAAACATAAACACACACACACACAGAGCACATAATGTGTCAAGATAATCGATGATCAAATAAAATAAATGAATCTTGTTTTTTCCCTCGTTTCATAGGTGAAACACGATTCAATTTGATGATAAATTCTGATTTGTCTGATGTGATTTATATATTTGAAATTCGATTGATATGAACAACAACAACAACCGTACAAATAAACAAGACATACCTTGGTGACAATCGAATGATTCACATTTGATGATTGTCGTCCATCGGTGTTGGTGGTGTACTTCCATCCGGATTTACATTCGATTATTGGCGGTATGGCTATTTCAACCAAAGGGATATTTGTTATCGTTGAATAATCGAAAGTTGTATTCGTTAGTAATGGAAGTAATTGTTTATGAAATATTATCAAATCTGTATAACTAGCATTATATTGATGACATTGACTCAATCGATCCATATAGATTGCTAATGAATGATTGACATTATTAAGAAATTTTAATAGATTTAAATGATATTCATATTGTTGTATATCAGTATCATTTGATGTTGACAACATTATCGTTGAGGATGATGATCGATTATGGTGTTTATTATCGATGATAAAATAACGTGATGGTAGAAAAAAATAATGTTGAAGATTATCATTTTTTAGAAAATAATTCCATTCAATTTCATTGCTGTTGTCAGACATTAAAGTTGATCGATTCCAGTATTTAGAATGAGAATCGAGAATTTGTCGATAAGTTCCATTCATCATAGATGTCGTTGATGATGATGACGATGTCGTTAATATATGACACCAGAAATGTTCCGGTGTTTGAGCAATGAATAAATGTGAATAAATATGGCAATAATAATTAATCTGTATGGGCATCAATATGAAACAATATAATAGCCGTTGATATGGGCCATAATGACAAAGTTCGGGAAAAACTTTGCCAAATTCCATCCTTATCGAATGGTGTCGATGTTGACAATGAACGAATAATATATGTTGTTGATGAATATGGTACGAATGAATGTTCAGACTATCACGAATCAAGGGAGAAAAAATTTGCGCGTGCGCCAGAATCGAACAAAAAAATTCAATTTTTTTAGATGAAAATTATTATTTTAAAGAATAATAGTTAAGAAAAAGAATTATTACAATGTTTTAAAAAGTGTTCCAAGTGCGATTTTTTGTTTTTTTCAGGGTTGATAATAATGGTTCATAATTCATGAATGATAAATCAATGAATGGAAATGAAAATAATTTACAATCATCATTTAGAAAAAATGGATAGAGTTGTTGAAGCCAGCCAGCCATCACTTGTCTGTCAAAAAAATTGTTTGGTTAATGCTTTCGTTTCTTATTATTATGTGAATTTGAATGTTTTGAATGATGATCATCTGCACGACGTTTCATCGAATTATTCGAATGATGATGATTATTATGAGGACGGTGATGATTATTCGATGATGGTTTTTCTGATTTACCACCACCACTACCTTTACTCATTACTTTACGTTTTTTTGCCGTATAATCATCGACAAATTCACCAAGATTTCGATCAGCTTTCGCTGCTTCCTCTTCTAATTCGGACCAATCTTTTCCAGATTCTTCACTTGAACTAAGTGAACGCTCTAAAAATGAATAAAAAAGAAATCTTTAGCAAATGGATAAATTCTATTTTTGATGTTCATTTACCATCACTAGACTCATCTTCGGATATTGATTCATCCGAATATTCGGATTCAGACTCTTCATTATCATCAAATTCAGATTCTGATGGATCATATGCATCATCTTCTTCGTCAAGCTCTTCGGCAGCTTCACCTTCATCACTATCGTTTGCATCCAAAAATGACCAGCCACCATTTTCGAAAAAATCTTCAGGATCATCCGTAATCGTTTTCATAATTTTAGCCCAATTCAAGCTTTGAATACCTTCTGTATAACGAATATCACATGAACTACAGCAAAAAAAATTAAAAAAGCAATTAAAAACCGATAATCCTACATTGTTTAACATACTTAAGCCATTCTTTTACATGATCCAACATGTTCATCGGTACCGAATTTACTGTTGCTACTTTACGGAAATAATCTTTGAATACGAAAACCATATCAAAATTTTTCAGATGAAACTGTACACGTTCAAAGTGGACCAATTCAACATCTTCAAGTGTAATGACAAATGGTGGCTATATTATCATTTCAATGAGAAATCAATATAGAACAACACAATTCAACAATGTATACTACATACCCAATCTGTAAGATTGACCAAACATCCAGAAGTGGGCTGTAATAAAACATTCGACCGATTTGGAACGCCATAATAGCCAAGATCTCTAAATGGTAAATCAAAATCAACTTCTTGTTTGGTCATCGCTTGAACTTTGTCACAAAATAATTGAAATGCACTTTTCAATTTTTGTCGCATTTCTCTTTCTGCTTGTTCTGCCGCTAAATCATCACGATCATGCATATGTTGATGTTTGCCAAGATCGGTAGTTATTTCACCTACTTCCGTATAGAATTGAACATCTGTCTGTTTTTTCTTACCAAACATTATTGGATTCTATTATGATTATCAAATAAATTAAATTCAAAATGAGTTGAAAATAAAATGAAATTAAAAGATGAATCAAACCTTTAAATGAAAATGCAACAGAATCAACATTTCACCGTCACATGGTTGAAAGAATGCATGTTTAATATTGTTATACATAATGTCAATCTTATCGCCACGAATCGATGTAAAACGAAAACCATTCTGGTGAGCTTCTAATGTTCCGTGAATTCGTTTAGCAATAATATTTGGCTTAATATACAGATCTTTAAGTCGAGGATTCGTTTTTGAATTCGACAGTATAAGTTGATCCTGTTTGACAATACCTTCCATTTCACGTTCTTCAGCTTCACGTGTTTTGAATTTTTTCTGTACTTCTTTAATCAAACGGAATGCTGTATTAAGATTGGATGATGGTGCAGAAATTTCACCCGCCTCTTTTAAATTGGTAGAACGATAGGTTAATTCCTTTAAAAACGTAAGATTAGCATTCGATGCAAACATCGATGATTCTTGTTTTGTTATTGTTGTTCCAGGTGTGAAAAAATTGATACGAAGATAAGTATAATCACCTTCAATCGATTGTGAAATATTCTTTATGGTCGATATATGAAATGGTACCGGTATACCAAATATAGGCAATATAATCGTTTCAAAACGTTTATCAACATAGATTTTTAATTCTTGAATTTCACGTTCCTGTGGCATTTGTTGTGTGGATCGATATGATATTGTTGATTTTCTGGCTCGTTCTTCACCTTTATGGCCAGACTTTTGTGCTAAACGTGCCCGTGCTTCTTCATTCAATGATACGGCCAATTCACGTTGATGTTGACGACGTTTTTCAATATCGGTTGCTTCCGACTAAATTTGAAAAAAAAAGAAAATAGCCATCATATTAGAATCGCATAGAAAAAGTTGCATATCTCAACTTACCCTGAGTTTTGTATCAATGACAGCCGTACGTCTACCACGTGATTGTAATGCATCTTTAACTACATCATCCATTTTATCCTCTTGTTCTTCTTCCTCTTCTTCTTCATCATCATCATCTTTAATTATGATAGCTATATTTTTTAATTTCTTTTTACTTTGTGTCAATATCGTTGCCGGTTGTTTATCATCTTTGACCAAAACAGTGTCACCAATGAACAATGCATATATTTTACTCTGTTCATCCGGTGCTTCACGATTCTCTAAATTTGCCAATCCAAGACTTACATTGAATACCATTCCACGTTTTACTATGGCCATTGATTTCGGTGCAATTTGTAATGAACTTTCTCGAAATTCGATACCCATAATGAAACCACAATTTCGGGTGAATTTATCCACCAATTTTCGATCATATTTAGCAACCATATCAACAGCCGTTTGATAAATATCAGCTAAATTTGCTCCAGGTTTTAATCGATCTAATATAACTTCCTGAACGGTCAATAAAAATTCATAATGTTTTTTCTGTTCTTCGGTTGGATTTACCAATAATGTACGGACAATATTAGAACAATATTGTCGATAACGTAAACCGACTGAACATGTTATTGTACCAAAATGTAAAATTTTACTATCACTTGAAGCGGAAAATTTCAGATTATATTGTCCACCACTTTGTATGATAGCTGGATAACATAATTCCACTTGTGATGTATCAACATTTTTGATATATTTTTTATTCTGTGATGCTTGTTCAACACCTTCAGTTAGTTTTATATGCCGTACTTTACGATCTTCATCAATAATACGTGTGAGTTCTTCTTTTAAATATTTTGTATATAATTCACAAGTTAACATGGCCGATTTAGTTATTAGATTAATTTCATGATCATCTTTTGTCGCCATAATATAAGCAATTGGTATGCTTATATCAATGACATTGAATTTTTTTCCATCCAATCGTTTTTGCCATTCAACAGTAAATTCACCGGGAAATTTATCACGGATGAATGCACCCAAATTTTTTCCCGTACTCGAATTTTCAATAGAATTTAATAATTTTTCAAAATTCGAAGCATCTTTATCAGATTTATCACGTACCAATAATGTTACAGGTGGTACGGATTCTTCATTTTCTTTACCCGATTCAATTGTTTTAAGAAAATCAACTTTCTTTTTCGATGCAAGTATAAATATACTACGTTTACAGAATACCATAATAACATCAGTCATTTCATAGCCAAATAACCATGTTTGTATTGCCGATGATTTACAATATAGTACTTCATTTTCCTGACCAATAGACACCATAATGGCATCGCATTTAACAAGATTTGCATATGATTCTTCATCATGACCATTCTGTAGGTAAAAAACAAATTAATGACATTCATTATAAAACAAAATTTTACCTTCCATGCATTGTATAATAACCGAATACGACGAAAAAAAGCATCTTTATCGATTGAAATTGATAATGATTGTGATTGAGACATTGTAATTCTCAATAACACACACACACCAAACACATACACAGAATATATCGAATGACAACTGTCACCTTCAAATTTCACAAAATTCTGGTTAATTTTCACACAGATTTCAAACGACGAAAATCTATGATTGAAAGAATTCAATTTTTTAAATGAATAAAAAAAATCAATTTGAAAAAATAAACCGATAAATCGATAGAAAGAAAATAAAAAACCACAATGTGTGTGTATTTTTGTACAAAAAAAAACAATGCAAATAAGAGACGAGAGGGAAAAAATTGAGTTTTGTCTATCCGTTCATAGTGTACGTGTCTCTATGAACATATACATTGTATGTAAATCACGCTATAGCACGTGTATATATATTGTGGAATGTAATGTTGGCGCCATTTTTGCTTGTTGGTTTTTTTTGAATGAATTCAACAATGAAAAATTGAAATTTACGAACATCGAATCATTCGGAATTTTATTGTGGAAAAAAAATCATTTTATCATTAAGACATTAGAAATCTTTTTGTTTTGTTTTGTTTTTCAAGATAATATTATCATCATATTTTGTTTGAATCATCAAAGAAAAATAAATGAAGAAAAAAAAATCAAAACAGTGTTCGCCATCTATTGGATCAATGGGATAAATTCATTGGAATTTGGCGGTAAATATAATTTTTATGTTTGATTCATTTTGATCATCATCGAATGAATGATTGGATGTCATTATAATCGTCATCATCATTATCAATAAATTGAGAAATGAAAAGAAAAAAAAATTAAGAAAAAAAAATCAGCAAACAATTTTTTTCGGTCATCCCGTATCCACCACCACCACCATCATCATCAAAATCATTTATCACTATCGTCAGGTATTGTTGTTTATCATATTTGCCGATTTACAACGATAAACGAATGAATGTATGGACATATCATCAGTATCGTGTACACATAATTGTCCATTCGAACATTGACATCTGTAATGTAATATAATAACAACAAACAAATGAATCAAATCAAACATTTTATTTGAATCTGGAAAATTAAAAAAAAAATTAAATTACTACTTACGAACTAAAGACAAAATATGATGGAATTTTACGAAATTGTTCCGGACGAAATACTTCCCAACCGCATGGTTGAAACATATTACAGAATGGTTTATTCGAAATCGAAATTGTTGTTGGTAATGATGATAATCGATTATCACCCAATGGAATTGTCGTTATCGATGATGATGATGATGATGACGGTAATGGTATCATCATAATAGTCGAAAGGATGGTGATCAACATCATCAATACTGATGACCAAATGAACATCATTTCTGATGTGATTTTTTTTGTTTTTTTTTCTCTCTCTCTCTCTCTTTGCTTGTGTGTTATCTGGACACCGTAACAAACACACACAGACACACGCACACACTTTATAATTTCTATATTACACTGTTGAATAGAAATATATATATTTTGTATATTTTTATCTGGTTTGTAATCGAAAATTGATTTGAACAAATTGAAGTCGTATTTATAGGCGCTGATCAGAAAAAAAAGTAAAAGTAAAATAAAAAAAAAATACAATTTTTTTCTGTTTATTTGGGTGATCCTGTTTTTTTTCTTCTTTTTTTTTTACTTGGTTCCTAGGATTGATGACTATTATCTCAAATGGATGTTGTTCTCATTTTTTTTATGTCATTTCTTTTGAAATATTCCAACCAATCACATCCACCATTTCCAAGTACCAAACATGATCATCATCATCGGCAACAAAAACAAACGAAAAAAAAACATACACGTAAAAAGAACGAAAAAGTTTGATCAAAAAAAAAAAAAAAAGAATTCGATTATGTGGGCGTATGATGATGATTCATCACATTGTATTTACATCAGAATCGAATGGCCAATTGCTACTGCTGTTTTTGTTGTTGTTATTGTTGGAAAAAAAATCCAATCAAAATCAACTGATGATGATGATGATGATGATGATGATGATGAATAAATTAAAATTAATTCCAATGAAAAACAAACAAATAAACCTACGCAAATCATATGGAATTTGAATCACAATTATCAAAAAAAATGAGAATCCATACTAGTTAAAGTTCATTCATATCAAACACACGATGATGATAATTCAATCAACAGTCCAGAAAAAAAATTGCCATTTTTATTTTTGTTAAATAAATATTCGTATATTATTGGCCAAAACAACAACAACAAAATAATCAAGTTTCAAATTTCAAACAAAAACAGAAACAAAAATTTGTACATGATACCCACCAATCAGTTTCATTACTTGATCTTTTTGGGTTGTTCTTTGCAATATTCTTCGAAATCAGAATGGAATTGAAAATCGAATGCGTCTACATTCGAATTTCGGATGTATCATTTGTTCGATATGCTTTAACCCCCCCCTCCCGTCACCAATTCCGTTTCCATATCGACAAAACAAATACGTTTTTAAAAGATATTGATCAAAGGTCATCAAAATCCAATAAAAATGTACTTTCCGTAAAATGTTTTTTTTTCTTGGTTGTTGTCTTGTAGTTGAGGTTATATATCCAACATCAATCATCAATTTTTATGTGTGCTAGTACACACGTAATTCTTTCAATGATGTCAATCGAATCATCAATTGAAAAATTTTAAAAAGAAAATCTTATCAAAAGATTATTGTCATGGTATTACCAGGGACAACCTTTGACATTCTGCTTCGAATTAAATCAAATTGAACAATAAACAACACTATCAAAAACATAAGTCTTTAATGACTATCATAAAAAAAAACGGCGATCAGGATTCATCAAGGGTCATTACTCATTTCTTTGAAAAAATTTCAATGAAAATTTTATTGCATTTTTTCTTTGGTTTTTATTCATTTATTTATTTTTTTCTTTTTTTTTGGATGCTTAACGAAAAAAAAAAATTCGGAGGGTGTAACACCACACACACACACACATGGACAGATCAATGATAAATGCTGCTAGATTTATGTGATTTACAAACGTTTCGAAATCGATAGGATCCACCTACACTCACTATATTAAGCTTTGCTACTACCCCCAACAGCATATATATTTATTTTGAGTCCATTGCTGGATCTTAAGATTTGTTTGGTTATTATTATTATTATTTACTACTACCACTACTACTTTTGACTCGATGTTCCTTGTTTTTTTTTTTAATTTCTGAGGAGGGGGTTAAAGTGGATTCTTTTTTTTTTATTTGTCCATTGACATTCGATTATTTTTTTTTCTTTAATTTTTTTTTTGTTTTATCTTCAATGATGATGATCTTTGATTGATTGATTTCATCTTGTTTTTTCCAGTTATTCAGTGTGCCAATTTGAGTGCCAATTTTTTTCTCTATTGATTGATCTCAACTATCCTATTTCGTCCGATCTCTATTGGAAGTGGCTGAAAAAAACATACTCGAAATGACCGAAAAAGAATTGCTCGTCATGAATAAATTGGAATATTTAAAAGAGATTCGTTATCGTATGCAAGAAATTGATCGTATGCGTTCATCAATCAATGAAGAATTGGATCTAGTAAATGTTGAAGAAAGATGTTTACAGGAATATCGTCGTGAAATGGATTCATTGTATCAGGAAAAAATGACCCATGTAGAAGAATTACGACAAATACATTCAGATATTAATATGTTGGAAAATGTTTTAAAACAATCGGAAGAGGATCGTAATCGTCATGTAGATAATGTTAAACGTTTACATCATCATCTACAACAGATGAAAGATGGCGTGGAGAAAATGCGTGTCGAAATTGGTCTACCTAGATTAAATGAAAATTTGAATAATCAAAATCAAAAGGATGAAGATGCATTAATGTTGGATAAATTAGATCTTGTATTGGATGCTGCAGCTAAACGTCATGGTAATACATCCTCATATCTAAAAGGTGAATTTGAATTAAAAGCCACAACAATGGATCCATTGGTGGCCAAACAATTATCATCATCGAATACATCGACAAATGCTGCGATCGGTTCTGGTTCTGGATCGACAAACATTGTCAGTAACAAACCATTCGCTGATAATACAAACACTTCAGGATCAAATTCATCCACCGCTAAATCATTGGGAACTGCTGGTGCTATTAGTGGTGGAGCATATTCCTCATCATTAGCATCATTAATGTCCGGTTTTCAAGATCTTCATACTGGATCACGATTAAGTGGTACAGGTGCTAGTGGTCAAGCAGGCAGTTTAGGATCATATCATCATACTGACCATCATCATGGTACATCTTCATCAGTATCATCCGCATCATCGGTAACTCCGAATTCTGTAGCATCTGCTGCTGCAGCAGCTGCTTTTCGTCAACAACCACCGCCAATGAAATCTTGTCTTTCCTGTCATCAACAAATCCATCGTAATGCACCGATTTGTCCATTATGTAAGGCTAAAAGCCGAAGCCGTCATCCAAAACGACGTAATCAACCGAAACAAAATTGAAAACATTTCAATGATTCAACTATCTCATTTCATTCATCCATTATCTCCGATCTTAATATTAATCGCATTTTACTAGCTTCATGCATGTATTTTTTTGCAATTCAATTATTTTTTCGTTTTTTTTTGAGAATAAAAATCGATTCGTTCGCCATCTACTGGCTTGGAATTGAGTTCATTAATTTTACCAAAACAAATTATTATTGATCCAAAATGGAAACTAATAAAAAGTCTGTAATCGCTTTACGATGCTCGATTTTATCTGGCGTATTTGCATCGTTAGCCGCTGTTTTTGGAAAGTTCGCAACATCACCACAGATATGTCATTCATATGTGTTATTATTAATCGGATGGATATTTAATTTTTCCAATAATTCGTTCGAAATTCAGGTGAGTGACAATAATTATCATCATCATCATAATTAAATCTTTTGTTGATATTTTTTTCCAAAAAGTGGCTTATACGAACATTACAGGTGCTCTCATTCACTACAATGATTCTAGTCAATTCGATGATGTGGACACAATTCTCATTAGCTTTGGCATATTCTGAACATACTATTCAAGTGACTACAGTGAATACAGTTACAAATTTTATTTGTTCGGTATGTTAATTTTGCTTACTGGAATAATTTTCTTATAAAATTTTTTTTCTTTCATTCATTAATTCATTCAGGCAATATTTGGTGTCATAATTTTTGATGAATCAATAACAATTCAATGGACAATCGGTATCACCTGTATTATGTTGGGAATTATTCTGTTGAAACGAAACGATACATCGATTATCAATCGTTCATCTAATAATTTGAATTAAGGTTACCAGAACCATGGTGGACTGGAATAAATCGGCTCCTTTTGGAAATTTTCTCACCTAACAAACAAACGAAAAAAAATTTAACCAATGTAAAACTGTATAATTAAGCGAGTTTTCCAATGTAAAAATGTTTGTCCTCCTCGACCCCAATGGCCGATCTGGCAACCATAATTTAAATACAATCACAATCATCAACAATTGTAAAGGAAACGAGCGGACAAAGATGAACAATAACGAGCTTACAAAATTATTATTAATAAATAATCAATTTTTATTTAAAATTTTCAATAATTTGTTTCTTTTTTTTCAATCAAATGATATTTTTATTTTAATAATAATAAAATAAAATCGCAGCCTCCATACATTCATGAATCGAATTCATTTTGTTTGTTTTGTTTTGTTTTGTTTCAATCTTCGGATAATCACGAGGAAAGCAAGAAAAGAAAAATAAAAGAAGAATTAAGAATGATTAAGAACTCAAAAAGGGCCACTCAACGATGATGATGATGATGATGACGATGATATTGATGATGATCAAAAGTCAAAATGATGGAAAAAAAACAAAACCAAATTGATATGATGATGATAATGAAGAAAAAAAAACAATGTTAAAATACTATCAAAGTCAGATTCGGTGGTTTATTACAGAATCATTTTTTTTCTCTTGGTTTTTTCTCTGTAAATCTCAATATTTGATCTTTTTGTTTGTTTATGTTATCTGTGGCTATTGCATTGATTTTTTTTTCGTTTGTTTGTTTGTTTTTCTATATCATAGTGCATAGCCTCATAAACAGAAATTGTTTAAATAAACAGAATAATAAGAATCACAAATTAAATTCCAGAAAAAAATATCAAATCTTATATGTGGACAAAGTGTATGAGAACAATCAAGGGGTGAAATGAATCAAAAATGAAAAAAAACACTTGTGGAATGTATTTGGAACAAAAAAGGTGTTTGTGTAAGTGAGTGTGTGTGTGAATGTCTTGGATGAATCGATTAATTGAATCCAGGGAATCGATTGATCTAAAGTCAGTGTTTTTTAACCAGATTTTTGCATCTTTTCACGAAATGATGAAAAATCAAAATTTTTTCCCTTATTTATATGAAGAATATAATCGGGTAGATCAACACCCATGGCGGCTATACAAAGAAAGAAAAATAATAAAACAATTAAAATTTAAAATCAACAAATTTCATTGATTGAAAAATGGTTAAAGAAAAACAATTAAAAAGAAATTGATTAATTACCTGCACGTTTATTACTTTTAACATTAAGAAATTTTCGTACACGAATCTGATTTGATTGTGATAATAATAATTCATCAATAACACGAGATAGATGATTACGATCCATATCGAATAGATCCAACATTTCCGGTTCATTTTCAATTAATTGTTGTAGACGATTATATAGCAATATTGATTTCAATGAATTCGAATCCAATGGTACAACCATATTATCGCCACCACCAACACCATTATTATTATTATCTTGAGAGATTGGATTGGCCATTATCACCATAGCCATGATGGCCAAAATTGAAGCCATTAAATAAGTGGCCATTATTTTTGATTCTTGATTTGAGAATTTCATTTTTTTAGAAATTTTTTTTTTTGATTACTCACACACCAACACACAAAGACTGAGGAAAAGAAAGATCAGAAATTTCACTTTGAAAAGAGAGAGAGAAGAAGAAAAATTATTTCCGGTTTTTTTTGGAAAAGTTCAAACAGTAAAAATATGATGAAAAATTCAAAAGTCGATCGTGAAATTGAACAAAAAGGAAATTTTCAAATTCAAATTTTTTTTTTCGTCAAAGATTCAACGCATCAAAAAATGTGTTGCTGATTCTCATTGATGAGAGTTAGCTCTAACATTGAATAATAATGAATCTGGTGCATCTTTTGGTGATGTATTTATATATGAAATGAAAATGGAGGAGAACCACATATAGAAAGGGGGACTAAAAAAAACCCTCTCAAAAAAAACAAAACAAAAGTGTTCATAGTGTTTTTCTCTGTTTCATTGATTAGATACACACACACATGAGCCACCAATAGTGATGGTACATTCCATTATGTATGTGTGTGTGTGTGTGTGTGTTTATGAAGGGAGAAAGAAAGGGAAAAGGAAAAAGAAGGTGTTAACAATTTCATGAATGTCAAGGCATTTTGAATAAAAACAACAACAACAACAAAAACATTTGGGATAATGAATGATGAACACGCCCATTCTTATTTTGATAATAATGATGACGAAAACAATATTTAATAAATATTCCTATAATAATTAATTGACAAACTGATCTGGTTTATTTTATCGATATGGCATGCCATCCTGCATGTATGGCATTGTCATATTGTTTTTCTGTTTCTGTTGCAATCATTGATGATGATGATCATTATCTTTATCAATTTAATATAATTGGACATTCATCTTGAAAAGTTGAAAAAAAAATTCAACTTCAATGCAATTTGATCATCATCCTATTTTTCATTATGGTGACGTATATTTTTTCTGTAGAATAGATGGATGGATAGACACAGCTTATTATATCAAGTGATGATTATTTTTTAAAATTCTGATGCAATGTAATTATTAAAAGTTTCTTTTCTTTGTTTCATTTTTATTGGAAAACCAGATAATCAATTGAAGAAATTTCCAAGAAATTCTTCAAATAAAAAGGTTGTCGATCAAAAAGGATGAAACAAATGATTTGTCGAATGACAAGTTGCATTCGAATTTGAATCCAATGAAAAAAAAAATGTGACCAATGTGTGTGAAAGTCAAAGTAAATAAAATTATTTTTGTATAACAAAAAAGCGGAATAAAGCAGTTCAAACTGACTGGTTTGAATGATGATGATGGTGGTGAAAAAAATTCGAAACAAAACAAAAAAAAAAATATGGCGAAGTTTTTTTTTTTTTTTGATTTGATTTGATTAAATTCGATTGATTGATTGATCAAAAAGAAAACATGATTTTTTTTTTTTTTTTCATTTTCAATGGTTTTTTTTGAGATTTTGATTTGAGAAAAAAAAATCAATCTGTAAGTCGATATTGATTTCGTTGAGCTTTGAAAATAAGATTATTTCTTAATATTATTATTATTAGTAAAATCATACCCTCATTGATCATGATCATCATTAGCCAAATTTGAATTTGTTATGATTGTTGTTGTCATCATCATCATCATCATCGTTTGATTTGAATTTATCAGCGATAATAATAATAGTATTTTTTCTATTTACATAAAATGAAATTCATTGGATGCATCATCAGCAAATATATGATATTCGATGTATCTGGACATGGCAAAAAAAAATTATTATTATGAATGACAAATAAATTGAATAAATAGATTCACGTGATCGAAAATAAAAAAAAAACAAACAAACAAACATTGAATTACCTAAATTCAGCAAATTCAAATAGAATTTCATACGATTCACTTCAAGTTCAATTTAGTAGTAGTTTTCATTATCATTTTAAATGACCTTGACACGATGATTCTTATTAAAATGATAATGATCAATGATTCTATTTTTACATATAATATAGATGTACATTTTTCTTTCCTCTTCGTTTTTCTTTTTCACCGTCACAAGGTTTGAAATATAAGACTTTTTTTCAATCCATTATTAATACGTGGACATTCATTATCAATTGATGATCAATGATTTGATGATAATAATAATTATTATTTCAATAGTTAGTGAATGAAAGAAAAATCAAACAAAAATGGCAAAAAAATAAAATAAAATAAAACAATCGATTCTCCACTATCTCATATATCGAATAATTCGTTCATCATTGGTCCATCATTCATAATAATAATCGATAATAAATGGAAAAAAAATTCAATTTTGAATATATATTGAATTTATAACGAATCGATCGATCGATCGATCTAATTATATCATTACAGACGATAATTTTTCTATTTTCTTTATGATAAGACATTTTTTAGGATCAATTTTTCTCATCAACATTATCCTTGGGTTTATAATTATTTTTATTTTGATTTGATTTGATTGATTTTACCATGACCATTGAGATTATTTTATAAAAGCGGGTAAAAAAAAAATCATTTCTTTCATCCCTTACGGATAAGATTATCATATCACTTTCTTTCTTTTTTTTTCATCTTACACTGCATAACGAGTATGATGAGAGAATATTGTTTTTTTTTTATCCAATTTGTTCTGTCTCAACATGAAATGTTAGTCATTTTCGGGCATTTTTTTTTTTGATAAATTTTGTTTTCGTTTTTTCGTGAAATCGGTTTTTTGGTTTATTCATACACATTCACAGTCGTCTGGTTTTATTTTATATCGTATAGAGGATGCATTTCTATAGATTTGTAATCATCATTGTTATGTATGTTATTATTTTGATATGTATATATAAATCGATTAAATTCAAATGATAAAAGAGAGCTTAAAATCATAATGTGGTTGATGATCATCATACAAAATGTATGTTATAATCGTTAATAAACAGAAAAAAAAATCTGATCATGTTTTGAATATTTTCGAGGTTAAATCTATTAGAATGAATGAATGAATGAATGAGAAAAAGAACACACATCAGAAACCTATTTTGGTGTAGTATATAGATTGAATTTAAAGCTGTTTTTTCTTTTGAAATGTTTCTGAATTATTAGTTAATGATGATATCATTTATGTTTATGTACTCAGGTTGTACTCGAAACGGATATTTTTTATTTTTTTTTTTTTTGGTTTGATTTGTTATCGTTTTTAAATCAAAATTTCAAAGATCAATCGATCAATTTTCGATCATAAATTGTGAATGAGCCAGAAATTATTATTATTATTACATTTTCATGAGGTAGTCACGATGGGCGTTCCGGTTCGTTCAAAAAAAAAATCTATGTTCAACAAAATACATTTATTATTATTATTATCATGTTGATGATTTACCCTGTAGCCAAGCAAAGCGAAATCCTCATCATCATCATCATCATCATCAGCATGATTAATCGTGATCATCATACGAATTGCGTATTTATTGAAAAAATTTGTCATCTCGAATTTCACACGGTCCTAGCATCCATCAACATCATCCATTAAATAATATCTTTGACATTGAAAAAAAATAATTATAAAAATTTGAATGAATCGTCATTGATGAACAAAAAAAAAAAGAAAATAATATATTGAACTTATAAAAACTTCTTTCTTTCTTTCTTGTTTTCTTTGTTTGTATGTCTATATATCATCATTATGTGATCAATCAATGTTTGAATGGTTGAATTATATGGTCTTTGTCGAAATCAAATGTTTTGACGTTTTTTGCCAAATGGCCAAAAAAAAAAAAAAAAAATTTCCCGATATTTTTCTTGTTGATGAACTGATTTTTTAAAATCTGAACACAAAGATTCCATTGTTATAGCTGAATTCGAACTACTAAATGATGGGAAAACAATATATATATTTTAATTATTTCAAATTTACAATTTAATTTGGTAAATGTTTGAACCTGATATGAAAATTTGCCATTTATGTCCAAATTCTAGACTAATTTTGAATGTAGCGAAGAAGGATTATAGTCCAGAAAGATACGTTTTGGATCAATACAATTAATTAAATTGTCATTTGGGAATGGTTTTTCTCATCATACAAAAAAACAAAAACAGACAAAAAAACATTGAAATTATCATGAAAAATATGTCATTGAATGTATATCATCATCATCCTCATCATCGAGGGAAAAAACCAGAAAATATTAACCAGAGAGAGAGACGATAGAGACGAGAGAGAGACGAAAAAAAAACAATTACTAGCGGAAATTAGAAGAAAACAATTTTTTTATTTTTTTGAATATGATTGATGATCAATGATCGATTGATATATTGAGAAAACACACACATCTGGAGTTTGTCCATATCCAAAAAAAAAATTGGAATGTCCGAATTTATTGACGTTCGAACCAGACAAAAAAAAATGATTCAAATTCGAACATATTTTGTTCTCGTTTTTTTCCACATTTTTTCTTTCATCACCATCATTTACCCAGAAATTTTTCCATAATAATTCACTCATGTTTGGAGAGAGTTTTCCACACACACACACACAATTTCTCTGTTCAAAAAATTACTCTTTTCATGATTAAAAATCTGATTTTTGAAAAAGTTTTTGAAGTAGTTTTTTTTTAATTTCAAAAAATGACAAAATTTTTTTTTTGTTATTTTAAAACAAAATTTTGCCTCCAGCAATCCAAATGATAAACTAATTAGTGATCTGGGTCATATTAAGAAAATATGATAAGAATGGTTGAAATTTGAGATCCAATACTTGATCATCATCATTATGATAAGAGAAGAGTTGATCCAATTAATTTTGAGTATAATTCAATGTAATTCAATTTTTTGGTTTCTCGTTTTTTTTTCTATTTATTCTGGAAAAAAATATTTCAACAATTAATTGTTTTATGGAACGCGTGTCAAATTCACCGAATAGGTTCTGGAATTAATAGGAAATGAAAAAAAAATGAAAAGAAAATTAGGAAAAATGATAGTTATATATAAACAAACATCACATCAATAGATCAATGATGTCACGATAAAATTTCATCATTCAGCAAATATACAGGCAAAAAAAATTCGAATAATTTGGTTTCTAATTGTAGTTGGTTTGTTGTTGTTGTTGTAGTTGTTTTTGGAATATTCAAATTCATTCAAGTTTTTTTTCTTCTTTTGTTTATTCTGTTTAGATTCTATATATTCATTTTAATTGTCTCATTCAGGCACATGAATTGGGCAAACATTTACAATGCGTTTTTTTGTGTTGAATAAAGAAACAAAAATGATATTTGTTTTTGTCAGAATGAAAAACAAAATGATGAAAACCTGGATGAATTATCCAAACGAATTAGAAATTCATTAATTTTTCTTTCTTTTTGTTTGTTCATCGGGTAAAAACTAATGAATGAAAAATAAATAAATTCGTGATTAAAATTCCCGAAGGTGAAAAAAAAGAACTGGATGAATGGCAGTGAGGAAAATCGATGATGATGATGATGATGATCGGATGTCAATTGTTATTGGAATGACATCGGCATTGTTGATGAACATAAAAAAAATGTTTCAAAGTTAAAGTTCATTGAGTTATGCACTGAAAGAAAAAGGAATTGCACTTTTAAAAAAACGAAATAGAAGAGGAAAAAAATCTTCAATATTTCGGATTGATCTGGATTCAAACATCCAGAAATATTGATTATTTGTTATTATGTGTGTGTGTGTGTGTGTAGTGTGAAAAAAATGATAAATTTTGAATCCGGTTTAAATCGGTTTTCCCAGTCACTTTTCAACATCATCATCATCATCATCATAATTTAATATTCATTCGATATCAAGATATGCAATTCAGACTTAATAAACACACAAACACACACACACACAGAGAGAGAGAGAGAAAAGTGATTGCCATCAAGTGATGCCGAAATATTTAATGACGTGAATCAAAACACGGATAATTTTTACTGTTATTGTTACTTGTTTACTTGTCACACGCGCACGCCATTTTCGACGAAAATTATTATTATTGTTATCTATATCAATGAGAAATGAAAAAGATTATAAACATTTATGATTTGAATCTTGAATGTTTTTGTTGTCGTTGCCAAATTGATAATTCGATTTTAAAATCAATAACAATTAAACTACGTTGGTTAGATTTGGATCATATCGGTATGAATCGGATATTTGTAATTAATTTGATATATTGCCTGATTGATTTATTATATGATCAATTTAGTCTGAAACAAATTAACATCCGTAAATATTGTTGGGAAAGCAAAATAGACAAAAAAAATTGCATTTTTGATATTGATTTGTTGATTTTGAAGAAAAAAAATTGTGCAATCATAATCGATAATGATGATGATGATTAATCCAAGTAGAAATCGATCGAATCATATATAAGAAAACGTTTTTAATGAACGTCATTGCGGCATATGGTTCGATGTAAAATTGGTGGGTGTGTGTTTTCGCATGTTTTCTAAAAAGTTAAGTGCAATAATTATTATTGCACTCGGATTTAGGATATCATCAACAGCATAGACAAACAAAACACAAACAAACGAAAAAAAAATTCAAGATCAACATACATACAAAAAAATTGTATGTTTGTTTGGATTAACGTACAAACATTCAAATTTTACACTAGTTTATGAAAATATATCACTCATTCATTTTAGAATGATTGAGTTGATTGGTCGGTCGATTGAACCGAAAAAAGTGGTTGATTGTGAATGCTAAAGTGTCATCGAAATAAGAAACAAGCAGAAACAATCGCCATCAAAATCACATTCAGCACAAAAATCAGCAAAAAAAATAAAATAAACCAAACGACGGAAGTTAAGGTCAAATACCGGGATAAGCAATTTTCGCAATTCATCCACATAATTTATCCACGAAAACAAAACTCGAGCACAAAAAATAGATTCGAATTTTAAATTTACCAAAATTAACCCAAACACAGACTGCTGATAGTCGAAATAGCGTTTGTGTATTGGACGAAAAAAATATTTCGGCGTGCATGCAATGGTTAATTCAATGTTTAAAAATAAAATATTTTTTTAAAATATTTGATCTATTTTCCAGGAAAAAAATTATTTAAATTTTTTTTATTGATAAAATTTTATAATTCAAGTGTGTGCGTGTGTGTAAAAAAGGCATGACAATTATTATTTTGAATAAATGTCGATCAAATTTCATTCGATTACAAGCGAATATACGACGAAGACAAAAATGTTTGTCAAATTCAATCGATAATCATCATATCCATCATGATGGTGAACGACGAATATCTACTGGCATCATCAATTTTCATCGTTATCATCATTCATCTATAATAAATCATATGATTAATAAAAATTTGAATGATCATTCGTATGCCAAACGTGATTACCATCACCATCATCATGTGGTGGATCAACAATGCCAAATTAGAGGACGATTATATCGTTGGAATGAAGTCCTATTTAGTTCAACATTCAATGAAATTGTTCGTCTTGATTCGGCAATTGTTGATGATATTACGCAATATAGTGTAAGTTCATTTTGTCTTATGATTGTTGATTTTATGAATCCTAATTTATTTGTTTGTCTTTTTGATGTAAACAGCTGTTTCGTGAAAAGAATTTTATTAAATCATTCGATAAAGGATTCTTTTCATTGATGCCATTCGTCGTTCGATCATTAGAACGTTTGAACGATTTAGTTAATCAACATATGTATCAGCTTGGTGCACAGAAAGTTCAAATGCCATCAATTGTTGGCAAACATTTATGGTTACGATCCGAACGTTGGCAATTATCTGGTCAGGAGATATTTCGTGTAAAAGATCGTCATCAAATGGAATATTGTCTTGCTCCAGTTAGTACAATTTTGACCTTTGAACATTGATTAATCAATCGTTTTCAAATCTCTTTAAATTTAGACACATGAAGAAGTGGTTACACAAATATTGGCCTCATGTAATCAATTATCCCATCGACAATTACCCATTTATTTATATCAAATATCACCAAAATATCGTGATGAATTACGGACAAAATTCGGTTTGCTTCGTGCACGAGAATTCATCATGAAAGGTATGTGAATTGAATCGTCATGTGTTTGTGTGTGTATTGTAATTTCATCACTTGGATTCGTTTCAGATTTATATACATTCGATAAGGATGAAGATACGGCCAAACAAACGTATCAGATGGTCAGTTCAATGTATGAGAATTTATTCCGGTTATTAGAATTACCAGTGATTAAAAGTAATATTTTAAATCATTATAATTATCGTAGCCTAATTTTTTTCATTTCCTGGTTTAGCTGTTGGATCGGTTGGTACTATTGGTGGAAAACATTCACATGAATTTTTGCTTGCAACCAATCTCGGTGAAGATGAAATGTATACCTGTTTAGATTGTTCTGAATCATTCAATGCCGAATTATTAGCTGATATGGATGACCAACAACAACCACATTGTCTAAATTGTAAAAGTCATAATTTAACATCGAAACAACGTGCATTAGAATTGGGCCATTCATTTTTATTATCCGATCGATATTCTAGCCGTATGGGAGCCATATATTTAGCTGAACATTCAAATAAACAAATGTATGTTGTTTGTAATTTTGAAATTCCTTTGATAATTTTATCTAATCACTTTTTTTCTAAAATTATTCATTAAATAGAGCACTACAAATGGGATGCTATGGATTGGGCATTAGCCGTATATTGGCCGCATCGGTCGAATATCTATCCTGTAAATATCAACAATCATTATCATCGGATTCCGATTCCTCATCTACCAATTCTTTATCATCACAATCTACATCGACACTATATGATTCAGCATCAAATTCCTTATTTCTTCGATGGCCAAAATTAATTGTACCTTTCAAAGTTTGCTTAATATTACCGAAACGTGATAGTAAAGAAGATCATGGAAAGGGTACAGAATTTTCTATGCATTTAGCCAATGTTATCCGTAACCGATTCGGAGAGGATATTCTCATTGATGATCGTTCTAATCTTACCATTGGTAAACGATTATTAACAGCTAAAACGATTGGTATACCATTCATATTGGTTGCTGGTCGTAATATAATCGATGTACGACCGAAATTTGAAATGTTTGACATGTATATTGAAGATGATAATGTCAATAATCCAGTGAATGCTAAACAAGGCCGCCTAATGACGCAGGCGGAAATTCTTGACTATCTTAAAATTCATCTAAAACATTTTCGATTGAATCAAGAATAAATTTTAATTTTTTTTTTAGTAATTTTTCATTCTTTTTAAACAAATTTTTTTTTTAATTTCAAATTTTTCAAATGAATTTCTGTGGTTTTCGATTCAAGATCACATTATAATTAAGAAACGAACAACGAGTTTATATCGCAGGATCAGAATTTTTGATTACCATTCTCTATCCTAGAGGTCGCTCCCATCGTTTCAAATGAATTATTCATTGAATTTAAAAAAATTTCAATGTCAGCATTATGATACATGAAGATAATGTATCGAACAATCGACAATCTAAATCTAGCCAAAAAAATTGTGATCCACCATGTTCATATCATCAAACTGCAATCGATCCATAATCTATATATAGAAAAGAATTTGAGTGGGACGTCAATTCATGTTCATTCTACTGTAAAAGTTAGGTACGAATAAAAGGTTAGGGTCTATCATCATCATCATGTTTAACATTATTAAATCATATGTTCTATTTTTATTATGGTCAATGATTCAATTAACATTGGTAAGTTATTGTGATTTTTCAGGCGGAATTATTTGCAATTTTCCAATCATCATTATGGTTGAAAAGAACTAATCGATCGGCGAGAATTTTTTATTGATTCGTACTCTGCTATTTTTGCCTGTTGTTCGAATAATTGTAATGATTTATTGGTTTTCAGTTAATGTTGTTATGTTGGACATATTGTTAATAAAAGAATTATCGATATCTTAAATCTTTATTTGATTGAACCATTGTCATTATTATTTTTTTTTTGATAATGATGTGATTATTATAATAATAGAAATCTCATGTAAAAATGAAAAACAAAAATTTTCTATTCTTTTGTATTGTTTGAATCATCATTTTTTTCGGGCTGAGAAAAAATAAAAATTTCCATTTTGTTTCTTTACAATTTTTTTATCATTGTGATAAGGTGTGTGTGTGTGTTTGTGCCAATCAACAAACACAATCGATAATTGTTCGATAGATTCAATCGATCAATCCAACAATCAATCAATCATTCGATTCGACAATATGTGATAGATGGATGGGTACATAAGAAAGAAAGAAAGTGTAAAATCATTTATGATTTAAAATTGATGATGATTTTATTTGAATCAAAATTAAAAAAAAAACTTAAAAAAAATCAAACTCATAATTATGATGATGGCATTCGATAATCAATGATTCATGTCGATTAATGTGCAATAATGTTCATTCATGGATCGAAGAATGAAATGATGATAATGATTGAGGATTATCGAAATGATGGAAAAAAACACGCAATCCTTGTGATCTTGAAATTTTTTCTTTCTCTCTTTTTTTAACAATCAAATCAATAATTATTGTCGTCAAATTCTTCTTCCCTCCTCATCATACACTTGGCATTTATCATCATCGTTATTATTATTATTGGACTTTTTTTTATCCACGATACAATTTTTGGGATAATATTCATTTGGGTTTATTTATTTATTTTATTTTTTTTTTTTTTTGATTTGTTTCTTCTTGGTCATATCATCAAATGAGAAATACTTGTTTTTGTTTACAACGATAATAATCAATAAAAATCAGGTAACAATTTTGATTATGATCAATGTTTTGTTGCTTGAGGCAAAATAATATGATGTTGATCAATTGAAAGGTTATATCAATGTATGTATGTGTGTGACGCGACCATTTCGATTACGAGCGATGATGGCTAATTTGCTATTTGAATAAAAAATGAAAAATTCATAAACAAAAAAAAAACAAGAAATTCTAGAATTGACGTCATCGACGTATACTCACCATCCGTAACATTCATTTAATTGATGAATTAATGAATGAAATTTGATTTTTTTTCATATTTAAGAATTGAATTCAACAACAACATAATCGAATATTCAGGAATGTTGTTTTCGAATCTGTTTTCACTTTCGCATTCATTTTTTCGTTTCATTGCTGGAACTTATCTCATGCATTAATCAATCGATCAAACAGAATGAATCAATGTTTTTGTTGTTGTTGTTGTTGTTGATGATAACATTGCCAATGTCAAGATCGATCAATTCATTTCTTTCACAATCAATTCATTATCATCAACAACAACAACGACAGCGAAGATTGTGAGTTGTACCATTGATGATGATGTGCAGACGATCAATTTGTATTTGACAAATAAAAAAGTATTCGTTGATTACATGAAAAACTTTTTTTTTCAATATAGACAAAATTCATCATTTGATTCCGAATGATTTTTGAGTAAAATTCAATTGATTGATTGATTTTTTTTTGAGAAAAAAATAAAATCATTTTTATCGATTTTTTTTCTCTGTGTGCTGATATTTGTTCTATATTATTATTGTTTATTTCAATCAATTTTCTTTTATCATTCAAATAAATCGTGCTACAGACCTTGAATCATTTTACATTTATTTAGGTTGTTAGGTTGATTGATAATCATCTGTGTTTAGATTAGATCATTGTCATTGCCAATAAAATTTTGTTTTTCCCACTTTAAATCTATTTTAGTTTATCTAATATAAAGATTGTAAATCTCGTGTTTGTTGTACAGATTTTCAGATGTACCCTAAAATAGGGCACAACTACCGAAACGAAGATATTTTTTTCCTTAAAGTAATAACTATTTAAAATAAGACTATTTATCGACATTCTTTATTGTAAGACACACGTCTTATTGTCGCGTTTTAATGTGTATTTTTTTTTCAATTAAAATCGTGTTGGAAAAGTTGATCCACATCATTCATTCATTTGGCAACGCTATTAACGGTATCAATTTGTTATTTGTGAAATAGTTTATTTGTTTTATCAATCAGCAAAACTTGAAATAAAAAAAAAATGCCATTACCACCACCAAGTGAAGCAATATTGAAAAAAATTGAACGTCTTCGTGCTCGATTCGAAAAAGAATTGGAAACAAACAGTCATCTTTACCATCCTATTGATATTGAACGTGTACGTACTGAAGAATGGCAAGTGGAACGTTTTGCTGCCGATGATATTTATGAATTGGATAACGATGATGGCCCGTTTAAAGCAATGTGTGAAGCATTACAATGGAAAAAAACATTAAATGTACATGAACGAACCGAAAAATCATTTCCAAAAGAATTTTATGAATTAATTGAAGTAGAAATCAATGGTCGTGATAATGAAGGTCATCTAATTCAATGGGAAGCAACACGTAATCAACGAAAATTTAAAGAATTAGAAGTGCTTACAAGAGAATTTATGGCATTCAGTTTGGAACGATTAGATCGTGCTGCCGGACGTGATGGTTTTGTCTATGTAACCGATAATGGCGGTGCCGGTTTGGCCAATGTCGATATGGATATGAATAAATTCAAAATCTCAGCAATCGAACATTATCCGGGTGGTATGCGAAAAATGTATGTAGTTGATTTGCCATGGCTTTTGAATGGTATCATGTCAATGATATTGGCATTTATGAGTCCAAGACTTCGTGCTTTGGTTCATTATTGCAAGAAAACTGATTTGCCTAAATTCATGGATGTTAAACATATTTCATTACGATTGAATGGTACACGTGATAAACATGCCTATCCATCCGATACACGTCGATTGGAAGAGATGACCGAATTAGGATTGGATGAAAAATTTCTTGATTCTTTTTACAAAACATACAAACTAAAACGTACAATGGCTAAATGATCGAATTTCGCGCATATCAACCGCATACATCAACACGTGGTCCACTAACAATTACCTGACCATTAACACACAAAAAACACAAATTCTACACTTCCACAAAAAATCTCTCACCACTCCCATCACATTAAACAACGAACACATACAAATAGTAGACAAAATGAAAATTCTTGGTCTCACTATGCAAAACCACCAACACCGCAACAAAATTAACTTCAATTTACACATAGAAAACACTATAGCTAAAACAATTCGTATAAAAAACGCACTTTTTAACTTTTGTAAAAACACATATGGAATTAACACAAAAAAAAGACAAAATTTGTACAAAGGTCTCATCAGACCCCAACTCACATACGGATCTGAAATATGGTTCAAACACATAACAAAAAAACAAGTGAAAAAACTAGAATCCGCACAACACACAATCTTAAGACACTCGATTATGGGTTACAGAACAATCTCTAAAGCTTGTACAACACTATTAACGAAGATTGAACCCCTAAGTGACAACATTTTAATTAAACAAACAAAATTCCTACACAGACACAACATTACACTAGAAACACTACACAATACAACAATCGAACATTTTATTGAAACAACAAAACAGAATGCCATGACACTTGCACATCAAAGCACAAATGAAACATTTAAAGAATTTTTCCCCCTCCCAAATATCCCCAAATTCATACATATAGATTTCATAACCACACAATTTTACACTGGACATGGTAATTTTCAAGAATATTTACACAGATTTCAAATTACAAACACAAACACTTGCACATGTACAAATCATCACACAGTCCAAAACGTTAAACACCTCTTATTATACTGTACAAATTACACAAACATAAGAACACAATTAAACCTAGGAAACATCACATCACTAGATAACTTTACACAGAACAAACACATACACAGTAAATTTAAATTCCTTTGTAAACACATATACAATCATTTAAAGGCAATACAAAATCAAACTTTACTTTCTTTTTAGTTTTATATTCAGATTTTAATTGTCATTTTCTCTTAGTTAGATTTTTACTTAATTTCATTTTGTAATCTCTTATTTTCAACCTTTTATACGCGCGAATATCTCCAAGATAAGCGCATAAATAAAATTATTATTATTATTATCGAATTTCGCGCATCAGATTGATTTTATATTGTTTTTAAATGCAAAGATCATTGTATATGAAAATATTATTGATGATGTTTTATATTTGTTGTTTATTATCATTATTATTTGTTTCTGTTTTCGGTTTTGAAAATTTCATTAAAATAATTCAATAAAAATAAATTCGAAAATTATTCGTATTATACGTCCAAATAGACATGTGAATTGATATGCTGGAAAATATCGACCAATTTGATAGCGATAATACCATAAAACGATGATCTCTACAATTATCATGATCATTGAACTAGTTGCTATAATCGATACCATAAAAAGATAACATTCTATTGATTGATACAGATGTTTACAATTATAATTATTTTTTGTGGCCAATAAATCATAGATATTGCTTTGGCAATAAAGAATGAATAGATATAATAACCAACAATTAATGATGATCATTGTGGACATGAATGACCAATAATTAAATCGAATTATATTGAACATTTTTTGTTTTTCAACTCAATTTATTTCATAGGCAGAATTTCTGAAATTTGGAAAAAAAACATCCGGCAAACGAACAAAAATATAACATTGTCTGTGAACGGAATAATACTCAAAATATTGAAATTAGAATAGAATCACTTGTTTAATATTTTGAATTTTATAAAATTTTCTCATCATAATCATTAACATCATATTACAATTAGATAATAAAAATGGTAATTAAAAATCATTCATTGGTATAATTACATGATAATCAATTTTATTTTGTTTAATATAATGAAAAAATACGACCACATATATGGTGAAGAATATCATGGCCATGGCAATAATAAATGTAAACAATAAACAATGTGTAATTATAAATTTCCAATCAAATGTTTGTTCTGTCCACCGTTTGGGAACGATTTCATCAATACGATCAGAATTTATTTTGTTTACATTATTCAATCCATCATTGATGATAAATGTTCGTTCAAGATGATTATCTTTATCAGTTGAATTCATTAATAATACAACAGTAGCATTATTTTGGTCAACAATCAAATGGCTAGTATTTTTTGCCAAACAACAGGGCCACCATAAAATGGTAAATAATAAAATGATGGACAATAATAATGAATTCATTTTCATTCGATTCGTTTATTCCAGAAAAAAAAATATAATGAAAATCACATTTTCCAATGTTTTTTTGAAGACGAAAAAAAATAATGATGATAATAATTGAAGAAAAATAATCATGATTAATGATCCTTGTTGAACATGGGCGACATCTTTCGTTTTAAATTGTCGTTTTTTTCTATCAGATTTGAATAACATATATTTCTTATATTCATTAATGGGTGATGATGATGAATTTCAATGTCTCTCTCTCTCTCTCTCTTACATCAAATTCAATCTAATGTCCAGTTTTCATTTGGATATCAAGTCTATTTTTTCCAAAAAAATATGACTCTTTTTATTTTACCGAAAACTTTTCAATCTAACTTCAAGTACAACAAATACATCGGACAAAATGTGAAAGGAAAGATGAATTGCCGTCAATTTTCAGAAAAAAAGAGAAAGTTTCTTCCAATTATCTTCGAATACGATTTCATTCAAAATTTCAATAGAATGGAATATTGTGGAACAACAAAAGAGTTTGAATTTTCAATACACAAAAGTGAATCTTTCATTTTTCTTGTTGAACAAAGAAAATATAGATATAGATACAAATATAGATGATGTTCATATCATTCATATATCGTCCATCGACATTTGGTTTCAATGTATGTCTAGAAAAATCGTAATTATATTTAATTATAATGAAACAATTACCGAATACTTCAATATATTAATGGACTAATTTAAAATCAATTCTAATTTTTTTTTAAATTAATATTGAAAATTTTTTTTTACGTTTGTATCAACCTTTTTTTTGATTGTGAAAAGAATCCAAGTGTTAGTTTAATTTCCGTTACAAAACGACAATGAAATTTTATCGAATAACTATATCGATTATTTTGACCATTATGATTATGATTGAATCATCAATTTCTCGGCGGCGGGTAAGTGTGTGTGTGTGTGTGTGTGTGTGTTGTTGGTTGGTTGATTGGTTGGTGAATTTCATTTTGTTTCATTTTGTTTGTTTGAATTTTAATGAAAAAATTGTTTTTTTCTTATATATACAGACTCAACGAATATCGAGAACTGGATTGCCGGACGGCGCTAGAATTATTACTATGGGTAAAGATTTTAATTCTACATTCAAATGTGAAAAGGATAAAGATGGTTTCTTTGCCGATGTTGAATATCAGTAAGTTGGTGCTATGAGAAAATTTTTCAATAAGAATAATTACAGACAAAATTAGCGATTAGATTCGAAAAGTTTATCAATTTCAAAAAATCATCTTTCCCTTATTTTAGCCCTAGTTTGGTGTGTGTGTGTATAGTAGTAGTAGTTTTTCATATTTTGAAATTGATAGATATATCTAGGGATAATTTACATATATATTTTGTTTTTTTTTCTTTTACATTACAAAATTTTGTATCGATGATTTCAGTTTACTGGTTTTTTTTTCTCTTGTCATAGGTAAACACACACACACACAGTAATTCCAAGACATAGACACAATAAATCAAATAAAAATGTGATACACTATAACCAATGGTATCAATCAATTTTCATATTGTAAATTTACCTAACCTATTTGATGATGATGATGATGATGATAGAATTTGTTATCGGTTATGAATTTCATATTTTTCACATTGTACGTTTATTATTTACGCGATGAACATTTTTCTCTCTCCGTGTGTGTGTGTTTATTGCAGTCTTTTATCAATTTTGATAATTTTTGGGTCACAGTCACACACACATCGTTGTCTCATTCCGTTAGGTCATTATTTAGATAGTAGTAGTCGGGTAAACAAACAAAATGGTCAGTTGATCATTTTTGTTTCTATTCGGAAAATTTGAAAACAACGAACAACGAAAACAATCAAATTATATTTGTATTACACTTGTTGAATTTTAATTTTAAATATTTTAATTTTTAAATTCTTTTTTTCCTTTTCCTATATTCCTATGATATATTAATAATTTAGATGTAGAATATTTCACCGTTGTCATACGGCTCATAATGCCGGTAATCGTATCCAGGTATTGCATTATTCATTCTTCTGTAGTGATCGTTTAGTATTTGATCAGTCAACACATACCTGTAGAAGAAGAGCTGATGCCATTCCTTGTGAAACATCACCAATGTTTTTTGATCTTAATGATCGTATCGGTTCTGATGGACCATTTCTAACACATGCGGATATTGATCGTGCAAAAGCAGTAAGACCAGAATATCGTCGCCGTCGTCGTCGTCGCTGAAATTATCATCATCATCGAGGTGGACCAACAACGCGAGGCTGCATTAAATTCTATTTAATTATTGGACCGTATTCACACCATCATTGTCCTGATTTGTTTATTGATTTTGGTTGAATAAAAATATTTTTTTATGTTTATTTTTGCATGTTGTGGTGTTCTTTTAAAATAATTTGATAATTTTTATTTTTGGTTTATAATTCTTCATTTTTTTTTTGAAAATGAATAATAAAACACATAAATGGTATAGGATATGTTTGTTCATGCATTTTTTTCAATACAGGTGATGATGATGGAAATTATTCCATTATCAATGGCCGTTGACGTTGTTGTCGTCGATGACCATATAGCTGTGCTATAGAAATTGGTGTATGTTGTTCATAACTACCACCACCAGTGCCACCAACAACACTTTTATCAGAATTAATTTGCCGATGTTGTCGCCGTTTTGATTTTAAACCAAATAAACCATAAACCGAATCAATATGATTAACAACTTTTTTCATCGCATTTCTTCTGGTTTTCCAATATTTTGATTTTTTCTTTTCCATTTGTTCATACTCGAGAGGAATTGGTGGTGGTGATGTTTTTATTAGCCGTATATATTTTTGTAATTTTCCACTATCTTCATCATGATGATCATCATATTCTGCTGTTCCGATTGCACGTTCATGAATTTTAACCGTCGATTCTTTGAAATTTGATTTTTTTGATGATAAAGTACCATTTTTAATTGCTTCATTCAATGCTTGTCTCATATTATTTAACATTTCATTTTCCTGTTGATTCATTTCGATCGAAAATTTCATCATTTGATCGGCATCACGTAATGCTTGTAAATTCATATCACTATTACGATCGATATGAACATTTGATTTACCGTTATTGCCACCATCAACACCAGCACTACCACCATCAATAATTTGAACGGTAATAGTAATCATTAAACCATAAAATATTTGAATTTGAAACAACAATTTCCGCATCCTTATCATCGTCACCATTTTTGGCCAATTTGGAATATTGGAAAAAATCATAGTAATTCAAAAAAAAAATTAAAATTTCAATTCCCCCCGATTTGGGTTGTTTTTTATTTTATTCGAAAAAAAAAATTCTAATTCAAATCTATTAATTCAATCAAATCGAATTTGATCGTATCGATTGATGATTACGATAGTAACGTTTTCCAATCATTTTCAATGGCCGTTTTGGTCGAATAGATGATGATTGTTGTTGTCGTTCGGCCATTGCTACACCACGTTCATGAATTTGGAATTGTTTTAATTTTTCATCTTTCTTTTCTTGTTCTCGTTGTTTCATTAGTTGTTGTCGTCTTTTTTGTAAATGTTCTTCACTTTCACATAAATGTATCATTGTATTTTCCCATTCAATTCGACGATTACGTAAATTATCACGGTTAAAATATTCTAAACGTTTTTCAACATCATAATCAGGTTTATTCGAATCCATAAAGGTACCATTTACAGTAACAAAAACGAAAATCATTATGTACATCATTAGCAGGTAATTTTGTAATATTCGTTTCTGTTGTTGCATCATAATTCAATCGAAATAAATGGATGGATGGATAAGAGTAGGAAAAAATTTTCAATGAATAAACGAAAATATAAATCGGATTTTTTTTGGAAAAACAAGATAAAAAAAAACTATTCTGATCCTAACGACAACATTGACAAAAACCTTTTACAAAATAATATTAAAAAAAACTGAAAATTCATGGTGAATTTCTATGGTGAACTATTTATATGTTGATGGCGGTGAATGAACGGAGATGTGTTTTATTTTGCAACAAACAAATAAATACTAATGTAACATAGAATAATTGGTTCATGGAATTTTTTTTTTTGTTTTTATTGAAAAACAGAAAAATTGTTTTTGTTGATAATTGTTCGTGGAACCAAACAACACTATATACTAAATATATATTGGGCATCGGTAATTGCAATTTTCAACAATCACAAAACAAAGAAAAAAAAATAAATCGAAATTCAAACAATAATTATAAGAAAAAAAAATTCAAAAATTCCAAAAAAAAAAATTTTGCCTGAAAAAAATTATATAAAAATAAATAAGTAAAATTTTCGAAAGACATTATGAGATTGGAATTTTTTTTTGTTTGTTTGTTTGTTCAATTTCATTGATCATTGATTGAATCATTGTTAGTTTCCGGATTAGACGTCGTTAATACTTGATTGTTCTAGTTTTTTATTTTTCTTTCTAAAATTTATACCACTACTCATACAACTTATCAGATTAGATATTCGTCCCATTATTGATCGTCGTCGTCGTCGTCGTAGTTTTTCTTTTTGTTCATTTTTGGAAATCGGATTCACGTGATCATTTTCATTGAATACAACATTATTTGGTACCGAATATGTTGATCTAGAATTACTTCCATTTGTTTGATTATCATCATTATTATTCTTTTTGGATGGTGTTGGCCATGGATAATATTGACGATGACGACGATTCTGTGGAGCAACGGCATCGACATTAGTAACGATAAATTCAGCACAAATAATAGAAAACAATAAAGAATAAATCAAGAAAATTAAGATGGCTTCAATCTTCTTTGATGGAATGATTGTGTAGGCCATTGTTTTTTCTATCGGAAGCAAAAAAAAAAAATAATTCACGGGTAACTAAAAAAAAAAAGATGGATTTTAATCCGGCCAATAAACGAGAGTAGATAAACGATTTTATTTTTGTTCTTTTGCTGTTTCAATAATTTTGGATATTTTTTAATATGAAAAAAACGGAGACTAAGACATGAAAATAATGAAATGTCATAAATCTTAAATTTTAGTATTTTTTTTTGCTGTTTTTGTACAAAAATAAAAAATTTCCAGCTAATAATTCAAAAATTGTCGCATGAGTCAAAAAAAAATTTTGAATTCGAATCATCATCAAAAATGATGAACGAAACAATCGATGTACGAAATTTGAAAAAATTATTCGAAAATATCGAAGAACTTTTTTTTTGTTGAGGTTGTTGTTATTTTCCATTCTCCCTTTTGATCGATACATCGTTGATAGTTTTTTCTTCATGTTTTCTTCTTCAAACTCATTCTTCAAATTTTTATTTTCATTTATCGTCATCAAATGATTTTTGTTGTTCAAAGTTGTTGTTGCGGAAAAAAGTAGAAAAAAATATTTACTTAACCGATTGAATCGATGAAAAAAATATGACGACATTTTGAGCAAAAAAAGGAAAGATTTATTAGCAAAATTAAGTGTATCTGTGTGTGTGTGTGTGTGTGTGTGTGTGTGTGTGTGTGAATATCTTTCAACCTGTTTTTGTTTTTTTTCGTTTGATTGAATTGAACAACCTGGCCCATTTCATATGAGTGTGTGTATGTGTTTTACTTGATCAGCCATATACAAAAACAGATTGAGCAGATTGTCGAAAGAATATTCGGTTGGATGCTCAACAAAAACAAAAAAAAATGCAATCGAATCGTATCAAATCGAAATCCGAATTTTACATCGACATTTTTAATCAAAGATCAAAACATTATTCTTTCATTTTAGCCTTTTTATTCAAAGAATCATTGAATTCGTAGGAATTTTTTCAATCTTTCAAATTGCGTCGAATCCGATTTTGTAAAATTTTCGATACGTTTTTCTCTGTCATGTATTTGGTCGTCGAGCCACACACTTAACATGCACATTTAACGACAAACTTCAACCGGATACGATAATTTTTGGTTGTCTCCACCCGAATCGATCCGTTACGTCATCATCGTTCGCTTTTTCAGCTTTGTGTGTGTGTGTGTGTGTGTGCGTTCAGTGATTATGATACCGTACACAGGGCAACCATTTTTAGAATCATTTGTTTGGTCAAAAAAATTTTTTCCGTATATAAATAAACTAGCCTGTGTGTGTGAATGAATTCATTCATCAGACAACATCAAACACACACCACCATCACATTGAATTGGAACCAAGCAAGCGAAAACGACAAACAAACAAAAAGTGTCAATCGAACAACCTGATTGATTAATTCTGTCTATCTTGAACAAACAAACATATCCTGAAACAATTATAATCCTACGAAAATTCATTTCCAGAAACGAAACGAAACAATCAACGAGAAAAAAAAATAAGCAACATTATTAATTACTTCGGATGAAAAGATTGTATTTTTTTTCCAAAAAAAAACAATACTCAATTCGATTTATTCATTCATTTTCCTGATTAATACATTGAACCAGTAACAACAAGTGAACAAAATAGAAAAATTATTGAATTGAAGAATTAGATTGGATTTTCCTTAACGACCGACCAAAAAAAAAAAATATCAATCGGAGAAAGTAAAGAAAAAAGGTAAGTCTTTTTCGGATTTTTTCTCGTATTTTCTTTTTAAGTTTGATTTAATCACTTGAATTTACGATGGGATATAGCGCGAATGGGATAACTGAAAAAAATAAAAGAATAAAAAATTTTAAATCGAAATTGAAAATTTTCAATAATCGATAGAGCAAGAGCAAAAGAATTCGATCAGAATTTTATCCGGATTTAGTCCGGACATGTCCGGAATTTTAGTACTTATCTTGTAATGATTGTATATGGTTGTATATATGATAAATGGATTGTCCGTACTTTTGTTTGGAAAAATATGGTAGCCCTATTGATTGGCCAATATGTGTGTGTGTAGTAATTACTATAGTATAAGGACATTGAATTAATATTTGATCTTTTTTTCAAAAAAAAAATTTAGCCCAATTTTATTTTTATCAGCATGAATCCAATGAGGTTGTACCAAATGAGGTTCAATTTGGTGAAGGAGAAAAAAATTGTTTGCCAATTTTATTTTACCTTTTTTTTAGTTATAAATTGTAATTAAAAACACACAAAGATAGAGCAAGAAAAAGAGGGAAATAATGATTATTGAAGAGCTATTTTTTTCTGGTTCATTCTAGAATTTGAATATTTTAAATTTTTCTACGAAATAAATTCTTGCAAAATTTGCAAGAAATAATAATTTTTTACTGCTTATTTTTTTATATTCTGTGATTATTATGGTGATGGTTTTTTTTTCTCTCCAAAAAAATGTTCATCATCATTCTTGATTCTTTGATTTCTATTTTTTTAATTTTTATAGATTTAGTGTATAGAATCGTTACCATTGTTGTCATTCAGATCAAATCTTTTCGTAGTCATATAAATCTAACATATCCGACCGAATATTCATTCTGTCGCGATTTAAAAAAAAAAATAAATCCGTATTATTAATTGACCATTGGCACGCCATTAAACGTTCGGTTAATCTGTCTTCGGAAAAGAAAAAGGTCGAAAATCCTTTATGATTTACGATGTTGGAGAAATTTTTCAATGAAGAAAAAAATATTTTAGAATATTTGACAATAATTACCGTCATCAATATTGAATAGTGAAATTTATTTAGAATTATTTTTTTTCAACTTGATTCAAGGCCAACTTTTGTTTTTTTTGTAATTGTCATTGAATCTAGATAGATAATGCTACTTGAGATTCTCAAAGAGGAGGTGAAAAATTGAGTACCAGGAAAATGTACATTTGACCTTTGTGTGTTCGAGTTTCGAGGACAAATAATCAAAATAATTTTGAAGCAAATCTGGAATGGAAAACTTTTTCTTCTTTTCGTTTGTGCTATATGAAGATTATTGAAGGATTTTTTTTTAGTTTTTGTTTGTTTGTTTGTTATATTTATTTCTTTCCCTTCTTCTTGATTGCTAACCGATTTTTATCTTGATTGTTTGATAATAATAATAATAAATAAACAATAAATCAATCAATCAATCGATGTTTTATGAAAGTCACTGCTATATTCACATTCAGTATGTGTCTGTGTGAAGAATATGTGTCAACAATGAAGAATCAAGACTATTATTTCAAATAGAATCCGGCAGCTGTTATCGATTATCAGCAATTCTGTGCAAATGATAATACTCATTGCCTTGTGCCTGTGTAACCGATATTTATTCCGAATAGACATCAATTTAGAAAGAATAATTGTATAAAAATATCTCAATCCATACGGATGTTGATCAGAAATATATTCTGTTAATATTGAATTCCTGATTGATTCGCTTATTTATTCATTTATGATAATAATGAATCATAATTATAATAATTCGAAATCATTTCATTCATCAAATATTTGCAGTAAACAAACAAAAAACAATTCTAGGTTAATATAGTCTTGACCTTTGATAGGCCATCATTCATTTCAAATTGAAAAATATTCATTTCCATTGAATGTCTCTATGTGGTGTGTGTGTAGGTGATGGCCAAAAAACAAAAATTTAATTAGGAAAATTGTGTCTTAACGTGTATATTCAATTTAGATAAATAAATTATTTGATTTGTATCAAATATTTGGTCTAAATAATTACTATGCACTATGTAAATATGACCATTTTATTTTTAATAATCATTAATAATCCCTAATGTGAAATAAGTTTTTTTTTATTTTATTTGAACAAAAAACTTATGGATTTATTATGACGATGATGTTTTAATCATCATCATTATTATTATTATAATCAATGGTATGATCAAAGTTTTCTTGATATGTTTGTATTTCTACTTTTATTATGTATGTATTCTTCGATTCTATGATCCTATGATCATAGCGAATTGGATATAAAATCGTTCAATATTTTTCTTAAATTAATTAATTTCCGTCTTCTTTTTAGCTTAGTTTTTAGATTCTTTCCTATTTATTTGATATTAGATTAAAATGAAAAGAAAAGGGAAAACATGCACACACACACACTTAATGATAATCATTATGGTAAACAAATTTGTACAATTTCGTCTCTTTCGAGTATAACGATGATGATGATTAAGATTGAATAATTATTACCAAATGTTTCAAATATAATGAATTTATTTTCAAGTACGATGATGATAATCATCTCGTTCTGATCTGATTTTCTTATTCGATTTGATTTTATTTATTCAATTGAAAATAATAACAATAATAATTGGTTCGAATTGAATCGGGAAGATTGGAAAAAAAAAATTTTCTTTTCTATATGATTGATCAATTGACATATATTGATGATTTAATAACATCTTGGTGAGTGATTTATGATGATGATGACGATGATCCATCGCTGAATATTTTAGAAATTTTTAATCGAATTGAAATTATAAAATAAATCAATTTTTTGTAGCCATAATTTTTTTGAGAAAATAAAAAATTGAAATTGATGACAATCTATACGCCTATGTGCTGTAAGGTTGTGTGTTTGTATATAACAAAAATAGATTGGAGTTCCCGGTAACGCCCAACATCACACGGTTGTTGATTAACATAGAAAATTTACTGTTATCTTTGACATTTTCATTTCATTAAAAAAAAACATTAGATGAGAAAAAATTACAAAGTAATCAAATGAAATCATATATATATTCATTCATATATTAAAAAAATGCTCTTTTTTCTATAGAAAAAAAGTTGTTTGAAAAAAAAGAATTGACGAAATTTTTTCTACAATTCATATTATTATCATTAACAAGAATTTTTGTAATGTAAATAACAAAATAATCAATGGAGAAGGCAAGAAAAAAAATGTGAATTATCAAATTCTTTGAACATTTTAAATTCCAGGATATTTTCATGAAGATGGAAAAGTTTTTTTTTTTCGTATGATTTAAAAAAGTTTCATATACATTGAATCTCATCTGTATATATAATCGAAAACAGTAAGAAATCGAATTAGAACTTGAATATATTTTTTTTTTGTTTCTTAAAATTCACATGAAAAAAAATCAAGTTAATCAAGTCTTGTTTTTTTTTTGAGTGGCCAACAATAAATAATGAATAAATTCATTGAAATGGAAATAATCGAGTAGGTTAATTTTGACAAAAAAAAATACGAAAGAAATTTTCTAGACAAAAAAAAACTTTTCAATTCATATTTAAAAACATTTTAGTGAATGATATAAATTGAACTTAGTTTTTTTTTACGAAATTTTCAATGAAATTACATAAACAACTAATTTAGCTTTCAAACTAATGATACCCTACAATATTCTGTGTTTATGTACGTGTGTGGTGACCATTCTGTCGTAAATTGAGTTTTGTTATTTTTTTTTTTAATCTACAAAAATTTTTTTTCACTGTTTTATTTTTTTATGGTGAAAAAATTCAATTCAAATTAATTAACCAGTTTTTTTGGGCAATTTTATGATCATGATGATGATGATGATTACAACCATAATAATGATTTAATTAAGACAATTAAATTCAAAATGTGTTATTAAAACATTGGGTTGTTGATTGTGTTTGTGTATTATGTTAGAGAATTGTTTCATAATATATATATCTCTAAGGAGAAAAAAATTTTGGTGGAAAATTTTTCTCCATTTGAAAACTTTTCTTCATCATAAAATAACCTGAAATTTTTTTCAACTGTTCATTCATTGCTTTCATGATGATGATGATGATGATTATAATTACCTAAACAGAAAAAAATAAACAATTATAATCCATACATATCAGGCAAGCAGACAGTGATAATAATGGAAAAAATTGTGATACAGTGAAAAATATTCTATGCATAGTCTTGTAAAAATACGACATTATCACCATCATCATCAAAGTGACCAGCTAATCGCATTCAGTATGGTAGACAATAACCGAAAAAAAGTTAGGACCATAGAACCCAACGGACACAAACCTATGTAGAAGATGGAAAAAAATGACTATTCATATACTTTTTTTATGATCATAATTAAGCTAAACAAGAAGAATAAAACAAATATATAATAATAATAATTACTATTGTCGGTTGTGAAAAGTTTTACGACGATTAAGAAGGTCATTGGTAATCAAATGTATACAACTTTCTCGAAAATATATATATGAATCTGGAATGATTCATTTTACCAATAAGAATACAGAATTTTATGTAAGTGTCTTTGTTTTGTTCTTTTTAAAGATTAATTTGAATGATTAGTTCTAGTAGTAGTGGTGATGATGTTGTTTGCCATGAAATGACAATTCTTTATTTTCTGGATCATCACCATTGGCATAATGGAGAATTTGTTTTACCAATTTTGAATAATATTGTAAAAGAAACTTTTTTCAAAAGTTTTTCTTTGTAGAAACTTCATATAAAAGGATCTTGGCTATGATTTGTAAGTAGATGAGATTGAAAATAATCGGATAAATTGTTGTCCTTACCAGTGTTATAAACTGCAAACACTTGTTGAGCAGATATGTCTTTCACATATTCTTTCAAATCAACGCTTCCGAGTGCTCATTCGACTCGTTCTTGTCATAATAAAGAACGGAATTTCATCTAATAGTGGTATACAAATATTAGCGTTTGCCGAGTCCATAATCCGTTAAGATTCGATTGAATTCTGATTTTATGATGGACAGTGATGCTTTTATCATTGTCCTTGATCGAAAGCATGAACATTTTCTAAACAAGTTTCACATCGATTGTTGTTGGTTGAATATCCAATTGGTTGATGATTCATGACCAAGTTTTTTCCAAACGGTATTTGATGATTTTGATCCAAAAATATGGGCCAAAATTAAAGGAAAAGGAAATTGCGTTTTTATTTTACGATGTTCTTTGAAGGACATCACATATCTATGGAATATAAAATCCTTATTATAATAATCAATTTATGTCATTGTTGTTTCATGTCAACAATATAGTATTTAATCTTTAACATGTTGTATCTGGAAAATATTGCCAATTATCATTATTGTTACATCCAAATAATAAATATAAAAGACAAATAAAAAGAAACTTTTTATCCTCCGGTCACATATACTTTGTCATCATAATATATTGTTCATCATGATCATCATCATATGTATTTCCAATTAGTGAAAGTGAATTTAATAAGAATGGAATGATGGATGATATTTATTAAAAAAAGGGCAAGTGGGTAATAAAATTTTTGTTCCATCCCCCCCAATAGACATACACATACATGCATTGTTTCCGGCGCTATTGTGCAAATCAAGCATTGATGATGAGGATGATGATAATGAATCCTGATAACTGTAAAAGAAAAATATACAGGATGATTCTTAGTTTTTTTTTGATATTCTTATTTTTCATTCAAAGAGTGAGACATACCAATAAATGCTTCTTGTGTTAATGTATGCATTGATGATTTGAGATGAAAGTATAAATTGATGACGGAATCGACAAATGGAATGAAATGACAAAGTTTTTTTTCAAACGGAAAATGAAAATGATGTTAGTGCAGAAGAAAAAACCGATAATGGATATAAGATTCTTGGACTGTTACAGAAAGCCTCATAATTTTGATCTATAGATAAAAAAAATGAGGCAAAAACATAAACATGAAGAATGAAGTCAATTGCTAGAATTCTACGAATTTATAATAAATTCCTTTGAATCCATTCCTGATGATGATGAATAGTCATTAGAATTCTTCAATTGGTGTTGACAACCACAACATGGTGTCATCATCATTGTATTATGAATGACTTTTTTCAAAATAATGAATTTCCATTCAAAGGATTTTGATTCAATGATTCAAGCCAGTTAGTCCATTGATTTGTGATCATTATTATTAACGATAAAATAAGAATATGAGGACTATGAGAAAAAGAGCTAGCAAAATAAATCTGACTTAACATATAAACAAAATATATCGAATTTCACTCAGTTGGTTCGATTCTATTTCAACCTATGTAAACTAGATTTTTTTTATGATTTTATCAATATCATCACTATTATAAAATAAATTTTTATGATTTACATCCAATAAAATGATAATGATAATAATAATGATGATTTTTTAGAAAAGAGTAAACTGTTGGCATCATTATCATCATCTTCATCAATTACCAATATATCCCATCGAATCAAAATGACAAATTATCAAAATTCGTGAATACAGCAGGCATTTTTTTTAATGTTGTGTATGTGTTTTGAAATAAAATTATCCAGAAAAAAAATAGATAAATCAAATGATAATTGATGATGATTTTGGTATTGGCTAATGACGACCATATGGCTGAAATGCAAAACAAAACCGAATTTTTTTTTTGGTAACATTGTATGGATAATCGTCGTCCACTAATGAATGATGACGATGATAGTGATTAATGGACCATAACCCTGGACCTTTGTTAATTTGTACAATAATAGAAATTAAACAAAAAAAAAATGATATGAATGAAATATAATATGGTTTCCTAAGGTCATTCATATTTCACATTTATACAGGTAACTTTTATAATATTTTCATACACTATTTTTTTTCAATGATGAAACTGATGGTGTTGAATATTTTTTTGTTTGCATGATAATAATTATAATAGATATAGGTAATTATAGTAATCACTTTTTTTTTGTTTTTGTTGTTGGTATAGTACAAATATAATGATCATTAAATGTTGTTCATTCAGAAAAAAAAATTTTTTTTTCACTTTTTTTTCATATTGATTCCATGTATAATTGTTTCCATGAAATGTTTATAATATTGATTCACATATAGAATGAAATGAAATGTAGAATAGACATATAGAATAGTAGTATATATAGTATAGATATATTTATAGTTTGTAAACAAAAAACAACAGTAATAAAAATATATTTCCCTTACTAGGAGTTTGTGAGTGTGTGTGTGTTTAAAAGATAAGATAAGATAAATTTCGAATTGTGAATGCTGATGATAATGATTAGGCCATTGTTGTTGTTAATTATAAAAACTACAACAACAACAACAACAACAACAACAAAAAACATTGCCAAGGTAAATTAAATTGAAAGCAAAAGAAAAAAAAAATTTTCATTTTCGGTCCCGATTCTCGAATAAGCCATAAAAAAATGAAAATAAAAATTGATAATAATTTTAGAAGTGAAAAAATAAAAATATCAAAAAATATTAATTTCACAATCATTAAATATATCACATCATATCGTTAATCTGAATCTGAATCCAATTTCTAAAAATAATAATTTTTGTCTTTTCAAAATCGCAAACAATCTAGAAATATAATCGTGATCCAAGGAATCAAGTTGGTTAAAAGACGAATAAATTGAATTATCGAAATTGTTATCGATAAAAAAAAAAAAAAAAAAAAATAAAGAAATAAAAATTGTCAAAACAAAACAAAATGAATAGTCGACAACCAACAAATATTGGTAAATATTTTATGGATATAAATGAAACATTAAAACAACAACAAACCAACGATAATGATAAACAATCAACACGATTGATTCAGGAATGCGATACATTTATTGATTCATATAATAATTATTCAAATCAAAATATGAATTTACGATCATCATTATCATTGATGGCCTTATTGGCCATTATAATGATGATAATGACAATGAGTGTATCGGCAACTTTACCACCATCATCATCTTATCATCATCAAAAACAACAACAAGCTGATATTCTTGATCCATTAATGTTTGTTCCATTATCATCATCATCTTCATTACAACCATCATCGTCATCATCATCATCATCGATATCCAATAATAATAATAATAATGAACAAAGGTCAACGGATGATTCTGGTTTATTACATTTAAATATGCCACATAAATTATCATCATCACCAATGAATATAAGATTTGGTCAGAAAGAAAATGAACAAATTATGAATCCAGATGAATTACATGATGATGATGTACAACAACAATCAATGAATGATTTATTATATCCAATTGATTATTATTATGATATTAACAATAATAATGATGGCATGATAAATGATGATCAGGGTTTAGGATCAATTATAATGGATCATCCATCATCTTTGGTTGATTATTATCTGGAACAACAACAACAACCAATAAGCGAATATTATAATCAATGGGAAAAACGTAATCAATGGAATAAATTTAATGGTAAACTGATTGATTGATTGATAGACTTTTAAAATTTTATTCACTTTTTATTTTCTATCTATTCTAGGTGCTTGGGGTAAACGTGCGGGTAATTGGAATAAACTACAATCAGCTTGGGGTTAGTATCACAACCAGAAAAAAAACAGAAAAATGATATCGATGTTTACATTTAATTCAATTTGCGATTTGTTTGATATAATAACATTATTTCATGTTGTTTAGGAAAACGATTATCACCATTATCAAAGATTCCGATTGAAACACGTAACTGGAATAATCTGAAAGGTGCCTGGGGTCGTAAACGTAATACAGCAGCAGTAAATAATTGGAATCAATTACATGGTATGTGGGGTAGACGTCGTCGTACAGCAACATGGAATAAAATGTCATCCGCTTGGGGCAAAAGTATGTTTGATCATCCATATATCATAACCATGTCATGAAAATACTAATCATTCATATTCTAATCTTGATTTTACAATTGAAAATAAACAAAACACAAATACGAACGAACGAACAAAAAAGAAAAACGATCAATTGGTATGGCTGCACCGACACATTGGAATAAATTACGTGGAATGTGGGGCCGTAAACGTAGTATTACGCCACAGGAAACAATGGAAATCCTTGGACAACAACAACCAATAACAATAACGACAACAGAAACTCCTGAACTAACAAAAACAACAAAACAATAATGACCATCACCAACCACCACAACCATCATTACCACTATATTTTATCATCACCAAGAAAAAAACAAACAAATCGATAATTTTTTTCCTTTCAAAAAAAACAAATCAAAAAATACGAGTTTTTTTTTTTTTGCGCGCACGTACTTAATATTAATCAGCAAAAAAAAAACGAACGAATCAACGATTAAATTCAACAATCCATTATTTATTATTATTATGATTATATCAACGGATTATGGTTATTATTAGAATTTGCACACACTCATACACCACACACACACACACACAAACAAATCAAACAGAAAGAGATATTCTTAATTTTTCATTTGATTTTGAATTTAATCTAATCAAATATCGATCACCCACTTTGATCCTAAAATGCCCACACACACACACACACACACCTACAAATTTGAAGAAAAAAAATTTGTTACATTTGAAAAAGAACAGAACAAAACAGAATAGATCAGACTGGCAAACAAACAAACAGAAAAGACGGAAACATTTTTATGGAATTGAAAAAAAATCAAATAGCAATAATTTTCCTGTATTGATGAGGATGATGTTTGTGTGTGTGTGTGTCTTATGTGTACAAGTGATTGTTTTTAGTGTTTGTTTTTATTGATTCCTTTTTTTCCAACAAAAAAAAAATGATAATGATAATGATGACCCAAAAATATTGACATATGTTTTCATTAAATGTTTTTTTTTCTGAACAAATAAACGAAAAAATCAGTTGTTTTCTCTCTATTGTTTTTCAATTTTTATCATTGAGATAAGCATTGTGTGTATTAGTTTATCTTTGATTGATTGATATCTTTTTTGGCATAGCTTTTAAATTGATATTGTTGGTTATTGAGAATTTACATTTGATTAATCAGTAGAACGACAACAAACAGGATAGGAAATATATAGAATATTAAGATTTATTTCATTTCAAGTATTCTTGGATAGATTATTTTTTTTTGTTGTTGTTGTTGAAAGATTTCATGAACAATTTGAAAAACTATATGATGTTGATGATGATATATTTAAAACATTTAAAATAAACAAAACCATTAATAAAGATAATAAAACATAATTGATTGATTGATTTTTTTTTTTTTTTTTTGAAGTTCTTGTGGTTACAAATGGAGAAGAAAAAACATTTGAATAAAAACATGATCATTGTCATCATCAACAAAGCTGAAATGATATTTAAAAAATTATTAGATTAGATTGGATAAGATTTAGTTTAATCCTTACAGAAATATCAAATTATCGATTTGATTTTTTTTTTCGAACGTTCGTTTATTTATTTTTAGTAGTAGTGGTTGCCGATTGATTTTGATTGGTTTTCATTAATTCATTCGTAATACGATTCGATATGAATGTATCGAAATCATCATCAAATATACTGTTATGATTATCTAATGGACTAGATTTTTGTAATTCATTTTTGGAAATATCATTTTTTACCATTAATAATTTCGGTAGACTAATCGTTGATTGTGAATTTCCATTTGATAAAATCGACATTGATTTCGTTGTTGTTGATAATGATGATACCGGTTCATTTACGTTAATGTTCAGAACATTATTCCAATTTGATGTAGCTATCGGTAATGAATTTACAATCGATAAGAATGGATTATTACTAGATGATGGCTTTTGTTGTGGTTCGCTACAGTCTGAATAGGCCAAATCAAATTGAACATTGTTATTATTATTCGTTCCAATAGTTGTTTTTGATGATAATTCTAGATCCAATAATGATGGTACATGATGCATGGCCAACATAACTTCATCCAATGATCGATCTAATGGATGTGATTGTTCAATGCTTGTCGATGAACAGCTACGAACATTTTCAATTTCAGGTAAAACAACAGACAAGTTTTTGGCCAAATTAATTACATTATTTTCATTATTCGTATTATCATCATCTTTATTCATTTTTTTGGACATTTTTTTTCGTTTATCAACAATTGTGGACCGTTGGAAATTTTTCTGATTTTTCAAATTCAATTGAACTTGTTTATCCATAAGATCGGCAATAAATTCGGCATTTGAAATGCTTATAGCATGATACATATGACATTCATATTGAAATTGTCGATCTTGTTGTTGTTTCAATTTTTGTTGTTGTTGATTGGACAAATTAACCACGGAAATCGGAGTTGATGTATCAGGACATTCTAATGTAAAATAAAAATATGTTCGATCTTTTTTCGAACGACGAAATATATCCATACGACGACAATCGATTGAATACTCGAAACGATAATCTTGTGGTGAATAGAATTTTAATTCCAATGAATGTTGCTCATCATTATCATTATTAGTGATTTTCATCATCAATTTACGACGATCCATATCCATTTGTACCGATTTAGCAATGGATTTCAATTCAGATTGTCGTCGACAACGTTGTTCAGGTGCATTAAACATCGGTATACGGCCATGACTGACGACCATAAACCATTGTTGTTGTATTGGTTGATTCTGGAAATATGTAACCGTTTTAATATCTTCAACATCATTCACAATCGGATTATTATTGCTGCTATTCACGGTGTTGGTATTCATATTGTTGTTGTTGTTTGTTGTTTACAGGGGAAAAAAATATTAATTTTAAATTTCGTCTTGAAATCAACCATGAAAAAAATCGAATATGAAAATGAATTAAAAATTTTATAAGCAAAAATTTGGCTCTCCCTTTTAAGAGCTTACCGAATTTTCGAACGGAGAACAATATGATGCCGTCTCAATGTCAATTAATGGTTTTTATCATCATCATCATCATCATCATTCAGTTTTCTCCAAAAAAAAACCATAAGTTCAAAAACCATCTGCTAGTTCTAACATTGGCCTTAAGATGGCGTCCACAGCCACAACATTTTTTTTCAATCAATAAAATGTGTTTTTGAAACTTTTTGCCATTTTTTTCATTAAAGGAAAAATGTTGAATGACATTGATGCTGATGATGATGATGATGATGAAACAAAAGAAAAAACACTACAATTAGGGTTGTTGTCATCATTGTTGTTTTTGTTGTTTGTTAAGTTAGACACAAACATACATACTGTATGAATAATTAACACATCCATGGATATCTAAAAGTTTTGTTTGTTTCAAACGATGAAATCAAATCAAAATAAAGTTGTGAATGTTTTGTTCTGTTTCTTTTTTTTTGAAGAAAAAGATTACAACGCTGCTGCTGAACGATGATGTGTGTCTTATAAATTTAAATTGGATTTTTTATATCATTCAACATCATCATCATCATCATCATCATCAAACATGAACATTAACCGCGTATCAAATATATGGTTTTCTCGTGGCCAATAATCTGTTCATTGTCAGATCAAACGTTCACGAAGATTTGTGAATTTTTTGTTTTTATTATTATCATAAAAATTTTTCCCAGAAAAACACCACTCTCGCTAATAATTTGAGTTAGAGAAAAAAACTTTTCAACTTTAAAAATTGGTTTCCCGAAATCGATCGATAACATCCATCCATTGATCATCATTTTGACATCGTGGATGGTGATGATGATGAATTACGGAATTTTTTTTTTTTATTAAACACACTTCAATTATGTACACACTGGATCGGATCGATAACGTCGGATGAGCTTTTGTTAATTAATTTTTTTCTAATTACCATAAAATCGCAACTATAAGACGCAACTACCGAAACGAAGATATTTTTTTTTTTCTTAAAGTAACTATTTAAAATAAGATTTTCCCGTTTTCATTTCATTTTTTACAATTAAATCCTTATCAAATATCATTGAAAAAAGAAGATTGAAAAGAAGAAATTCTAACATTGAAATATGGTAATCATCATTGAAATTGATACTCATATATTAAAGATCATTTAAAATAAATATGCATAGAATATTCTGTTACTAATTAATTCATTCATTCATACAAATATTGACGACATTTTTTCTCATATTTATTATTAGACATAGTATTTGTATAAAGTTGTTTGGCAAAAAAAAAAAAAAAAATACACAAATGAAATGAAAATGGAAACAAAATAAAAATTGATATTCAATTGAATTATCCATGTATCCATTCATCTATGTACCGTATTTTCAAATGAATTTTCTTATTCACAATATTCACAATATTAATATATACACTTGGTCATCCACGTCCATCCATGACATTAATGTCCATAACTAATCATCAACATGTTATTTCTTTTGTTTGTTAGTTTGTTTGTTTGTTTGTTTGTTCATACACCCAAACCAACTTGGAGAATTCTTTCTGAATACTACACAAATGGATTTTTTTTTCATTCATTCAAAAAAAAAAAGTTGCATCAAAAAATGATGAATAGAACATTTTATATTTACATAGGAATATGTGAAAAAAAAATGCAGAATAATTTCCATTTTTTTTCACATCTCTTTTCATTCATATCAAAGATACATTCGTAAAATAATGGCAAATGAATGAATGAATTGAATGGTGATGAGAAAAAAATTCTTTTTTTTTCTCTCATAAACATATTTCTATTTCTATAGAAAATACGTCGTCTGGATTGAATTGAATGTGATTTGTGAGGAAAATTTCCAGACATCACATATATATCATCATCATCATCAATCAATCAATTTTTATGTGATCATCGGATAAAACAAAACAAACGTAACAAATTCGGGTTATTTTCATATTTATACGTTATGATTAGATTAGATTTGCCCGCTAGTATATAATTTTTTTGTTTTGTTTTGTTTTTCCTAATGCTAAATGTGGATGTTTATGTTTATCAATCTAAAACAAAAATTGTAGAAAGAATACAAATCATAATATTTTACATAGAAATCTTCTTGATGATTTCAGAGAAAAAAAATTTCAAATTCAATAATAATGATTGTGTATGGTTGTTTGTATGCATTTGTCTGACAAAACAAAAAAAATTGATAATTTTCAATTGAATATTTGAATAAAAAGAAAAAGATTGCTTCTTATTTTTTTTGTTCATTTTCTGTCCAATTTGTTTGTAACAAAAAAAAAAAGAAATTGTAGCCATTGGTGATGATGAAGAATCATATATCAAGTACCAAATGGTTGTTAATAATAATAATGATGATGATGATGATGAAAAAAACCAACCACATTACGAATTCAAGTGTGCATCTGTATACCGGAAATTTATTTTTTCTTTTTTTTGAAAATTCACATCCAAAAATAGATAAAACAGAATGTTTCATTTGTTTTTACTATAAAAAAAAATTAATTCAATTTTTGTTCCATTTAAAAAAAAAGAAAAAAAAATTAAAAATTATCATCATGCTTATGTGATGATGGACAATGGAAAAATTTTTTTTCATTTCTTTCGATTCTATCTTTTTTTTATAACCATGTTTGTAATTTTTTTTATTGAAAGCAAAAAAGAAAAAAAAATTCGAAATTACCAACAAAAATTCAATGTACAAAATGAAAACGAAACAAAAAAAAATCCAATAAAAAACAAACCAGATTAGCTTTTGGAACAAAAAGAAAAACCCAGAAAAAAAATGCAGTGGAAAAAAAATTTAAAACTCACAAGTTCATATCCTATATATCATGTATGTATGTCATACAAAATTAATGAATCCAAAAATTGGATGTATCCAACACACACACACAGATATAGCTCCCACCTAAAATATATCGACACAAAAACACACACAACGAATGTAATAAATGAATGGATAAATTCTTTATGAAATAAAATAAAATGATAGATATAAGTTGTAGTAATATGAAGCCATATATTACGTAAACAAACAAAAACGCCCTCAACAACAATAATATGATCTAAATAAGATCCTAATAAAGAGGATATAATAAATGATTCATTGTCATTGATGGGATGTTACATAAATGTACTAATTCAGGTTCCGGTCAACAGTGAAGAAAAAATCGATGATTTTGAATTACAACAACAAAATTAAATTGATTCGTTTAAAAATTGTCTTTGTATGTATGTACGAATATAATAGGTAGCAAAAATAGTTTTGTATCGTTGAATTTCGAAACAAACCAAAGATAAAGAAAAACTCAGCTAGATAGCTAAAATGAATGAAAAAATAAACAAAAGATTGAATGCTATTGAGGATTCTGTTGAATAAACGAAACGAAACGAAAAAAAATGTTTCCATTACAATCTCAAGAGATTCAATGAGATGTGATGGATAACAAAATAAAAAAAAGATAGTACAAGAAAAAAAAAAAAAATAATAAAATAGCAGTGGGGGATGGCGGTGATTCTGTAGGGGTAACATAGGTTAACATATTGAATTTAGCAATAGACAATTTTGGCAAAATAACAAAACAACAATTTGTTCATCAAATTGAAATTCAGCGAAATATATCCAGCCAACGTCGAAGCCTTAATGTATACATCAATCAAGATCTTACCTCACCATTTTACTATTAGTGATGGTAGTGGACAATTTACTTTTTTATATTTATTTTCTTTTTTATTTATTGTTGTTGTTGTTGCTGTTGTTGTTGATTCTGATTTTTATTACATCATTTCTTCCCTCTTTCTTTTCCCTTCACTTCATTCAATTGTTCAAAATGTTCATTTGTAATTGCAATGGTAATGGGATCGGGTCTATAATCAGTTTTTATTATTTTTTTTCATTATTACTAATGATGAAGATGATGTTTGCCATGATTGAATAGATGGATGGTATCTCCCCCCAAAAAAAAATTGAAAGTACATAATGTTTACACACACTTTCATGAATGTGATTGTAATCTGATTATAAAAGGTTATGCCATATATATGAACCTGACAGATTCTTAAATCGATGAGAGTACCATCTTTTTTATTGATCCATTTCTTTGGTTAAATTCTTTTCTTACATCAAAATAAAACAACAACAGTCAAGACAACAATCATTAAGTTGTTGATTATGATTTAATGATGATTCAAAGATTATAACCATTAACATTTTGTTTCCACTATTTTGTATTGAAAGTGGTAACAATTTTTTTGACATTTTCATTATGTTTGAAAACAAAAATATTCTTTACTTTGAAAGTTTTGACCATGAACAAAATTACACATTGATGATAATTATAGTTACAAAAAATCAATAAAACAACAAAATAGTGACAAAAATTATCAAGAATATGAACAATGTAAAAATGTGAAAAAATTCTTAAATGTCGTTCACAGAAAGAGAGAGAAAGAGAGAAAAAATTAAAAAAGAATTCCTAAAAAGTTATGGGCGGTGAAGATGTTTGTTTGATGATCATGATGATGATGATGATGACGAATGATGAATTCTAGATGAAAAATTTCATCATATTTCACACGCACACACCCCTCCACCCAGCCAAAGCGAAAGAGAAAGAGAGAAATAGAGAATAGGAGAGAATAAAAAACCATCATCTACAGATATATATTGTATATATATAGACAATGTCGGCGCAACTTTTTTTGAAATAGTTTAGTGTTACACCTATTCATGGATTAATAATAATGATGATAATAATATATAACGCAATCGCGATAAAAGTACAAACAAGTGGTCAGGTTTTTTTCATCACATTTTTATATAAAGGAATGGTGAAAAAAGAATTCTTTGTTTTTCATTCATTCTACGAATAATCATCGTCATTGAATATAATCGTGGTTGATGAATCGAGAAAAAAAAATCATCATCAT